ACAGGCTAGTCTTTCTGAAGAACTATTCCGACATCTCATTATTCAAGGCAGTGAATTTAGACAACACCAAACAGGTCATGTTCTTAACCACCGAGGTCCATCCAGTGTTGGACAACATCGATCTTTTCTGCATTGCTTTCTTCACTTTGGAGCTACTGGCCCATTTCCTTACTTGTCCGCGGAAGTTAAAGTTCTTCACGTATGTGCTCAATGTTCTTGATGTATATCTTGTGGTAGCTATGTGGACAACGTTTGCCATTGAAACAAAGTTAGAGGATTATTTGGATGATGAGAGAATGATAAACTTTTATTCTGTATTAAAAGCAACGCTAGTTCTACGTTTGTTAAGGTTTTTCAGACTTATGAAACAATTCAGTGCTCTAAAAATTCTCTTCATGTCCCTGAAAGCTAGTATCAAGGAATTATTTCTTTTATTCATAACATTTTTGCTGGCTTCTGTTCTCTTTGCTAGTTTTATGTATTTTGCTGAATTCGATAAACAAGATGTCTTCCCCACCATATTCGAAAGTATGTGGTGGGCTATCATCACAATGACAACTGTCGGCTATGGAGACATGTATCCAACATCCTTTGCTGGAAAACTTGTCGGCATTGCTTGCGCAGCTGCAGGAATAGTTATTATAGCAATGCCAATAGCAGTCGTAGCTGCTAATTTTAGTGAGTACTATCTGAAAAACAGTGAACGAAGACTGCGGGGACAATTAATGAAGAATAAAAAGAAGAAACAGTCCTGTTGCAGCTGGGGCGAATCTCCGCAGGTCGACAGCTATACTTCCGGTCCCCCCTCGCCAACAAATCGAGTCAAAAGACAAAACTCTAAACTGACAGGCATAACTGCTCAGTCCTCAAAAACAAATGATTCTTCGAAAAAACAAAAAGGCAAAAAAGGAAAAAAGTTCTCTAATGGAAAACAGAAGTCAGAAACTCCATCGCCTGCAATATCACGAAAGACGGATGTAAGTGAAAAACATAATGGTATATGGTATGATGTGCCAGATTTACCCGTTTAAATTCATTGTTCAACCATTTTGTTCAAACATTTCATTTCCTTCTGAAAAGTTTTTAGTTATATATGATACACATAGATTAGGAACCCCTGTCTCTTTAAGTGTGCAAAACGCAGAAGATATAACAGTTACAAGATATATACTTATGTCTTCCCAATGAATTCAATTGATATTGCGTGTAGCATTCAACTTAATCGATCGTTACAAAAGAAAGGATTTTTTTTTTTTGAGATGTGTGTTTAACAGTTAAAGCATTGTGTGTTTTGATTCTTAACATGTAACAGTACATGTACATGTATATTAATGAGCGGAGACAATGCATGTTTTTATAATGGCTAATTCTGCATGAATAGTAAAGATAAATAAAACAACTCCAGTGGGAAATAATTTTAATAAAATTTCAATACAATACTACAATAAATGATTCATAAGAAAGAGTGTTTGTTTGCTTGTTTTTGTTTTTTTTTGGGGGGGGGGGGGGGTAGTGAACATTTCAAATTGAATATCCTGCAAAATTTCCAAAACTGCAAAAGTGACCTTAAACTAGGGATGTCAATTTTGTCGGTAATTCATATTCGAATATTCAATGAAAGTATTCGAATATATTGGAATATTCGATAAAATAAATAAAATCTGGTTTAGTTTAAATGTATCATCCTACTTTCATAAAAGGTTTAGCGTAGGGATTCTTATATTGAAAGTGAAATTGTATGAAGACTTTTGTAGGTGTACAATAAGGAATTCCTTTTGGTATTTATCAATGTTTGAAATAAATAAATCTGATTTAAATGTAGAAAAGTACAATTTTAACGAATTATACAATCAAGTGTTTTATAGTGGCTCCAACTGAGGAACCAGTCGTCTTACCAAAGGCAAGATAGTCATATACTGTTCAGATTTCAATACGTGCAATTAATTACAATTATCGGCCTAATAAGAAATGTGATCATAATCTTTGATACAGTGTTTTTAAAATATAAACAAACATTTCCATAGATAATTTTCCTAGGTAATTAACTATTTTCCCGATAACGAAAATAAAATTCAGGATTATGTACAACCCGTGATAATCAAGTAATTTACACATTTATTCTGAAATTGAGCTCTTTACAAAATTTAATTACAGACAACTTCCATCGGACATCCATTCAATGATCAATTAAATTTATTAAGATATGTATACTCTTCACGTCTTTTAGACATTCTAAGAAGGTTTGCCTTTTGTTGTCCTCGATTCTATATCCGATTGTATTTAACAAATAAAAAACTATGAAAGTGCGTTTTGTATTATACATAAAGCATTAATGCATAATTCATTAACACCTTACTCAAAACAAAATAATTTAGTAGACGTATACGATAAGAAAGAAATGAAAGAAATCAGGCGATCAAAATTGATCGCTTGTAAATCAAAAGGGGATATCTAATCAAAATTTATTAATCGCAGTACTTCTTTTATTGAAATCTGAAAAATACCGAATATTCGAATCTTAAATTCATATTCGAATATCAACTCATCGAATGAATATTCGAATGTTCGTTGACATCCCTACCTTAAACACACCAAGTCCAAGGAATGAAGACAAAGAATAATTATGATGGCAAGAACTGGATGATTACTATATGATGTAGCGAAAAGATATTATTTTTGTCAATGTCAATCAAACATTTTCTTCAAAGATCATGAGTTTTACATGTATTCTTTGTAAACATTTGTGGCATTTATCTAATCAAGGTAAGAACAAGCTTATTTATTATTAATTTATTTTGATTTTTTTGGATAGATTAATTCATCAATACCATTATTATATAACTTCTGAAGAAAGAAGAAGACTATTTTTTTATTTGTTGCACATTATTTTCCCAGAATAAAATCAAAGTGGATTACAATTATGGAAGCTATACATTTTTATGTATATGTTTCTTTTTCTTACACCAGCTAAGAAAATGATCTTGATTTTTAAAATAATTACAACTGTGGAAACTTAGTTTATTAAATGTTATGAAACAAATCAAAGAATATGCGTACTTTTGCTCTAATAGTGATAGAACATCATTAAAGCCTTGTTAGGTTTTTCTTTAATGGGGATAAAACATCTTGTATTATTAATGTAAAGTATAGTATAACGTTTTCATTTTGTCAGTTAAACTTTAAAGCTTTTAGAAATGAACACTTCATATCATAAGGCTGCGTGATTTAACTCCTATTATATGTACAATGTATTTGCCTAACAAGAATATTCCTATACCAAAACCATGCATTTTTTTGTATCAAAAAATGATACAGGGTTATTATTCTGCAAGGTCATTTTTCTACTGTCCACATGGAGAAAAATGACTCCAGGGCCATAATTTCTACAAAAAAGTGGGTCATTTTTCTAAGCAGAATATTGACCAGGGGGGTGCAAATTTCTACGTAGGAAAATGATCCCCGGTCAATATTCTACGGGGGTCACTTACCGTCGGTACACCAGCATCTACACTGCATAAGGGTGCTTTTATATCAGTGTGATTTATTTGGGAAAAAGGTGTATCTTGAGACGTTTTGTCCATATATTTACTTCTAAAACTTGACCCCCCCCCCCCCGTGACCCATAACCGTAACGAATAGAATATGCAATTCTGTGGATACTTGCATAACTAATTTTAATCCCGCAGTTGCCTTCATGTATGTTAAATTTACATGTTTGTAGTTTCTTCTCAGTGTGATTAATATAAGCTCTTTCATCTCGTTTTCATTTATTTATTTTCATTTTATTTTTGGGAGTGGGGTGGGGGAAGGGTGACAGAACAAACACATTCACACACAAAGAAGGGCTACTTTTAAATTGATTGGTGCCTACCAAGTAATAGTCCGAGGCTTAAACAAACTTGAATCTACACTCCATGGATAGCCTTACATACTAATACATGTATGTTTATATGTCGACCCGTTTTCCTGCGGAAAACATTTTTTAAAGACTTTTTCTTACAAATTCCTGTGTACATCTTAGAAAAAATTTTGTACCCTATCATAGCCCAGGAGACCATGACTTTTTAAAACATTAAATGTACTCTGCATGCAGATTGCTGTGTATTACTAAGACAACTGTGACTCTGCTGTTCGAAAGAAGTTTATTCCTTATATTAAACTTTTAACCTATTATGTTTTCCCCACCTACCCAAGAGAGACATGATCTGAATTAACTTGAATATACTCTGTACAAAGCTTTGATATTTTAAGAAGCCCAGTCTTTCCTTTTAATTACCCCGCCTTACTATTATATTTTTTTAAATCCTTCTCTAATCATCTCCCTTTGTAAAAAGGGACATGTTCCTTCGTTTGTGGGTGCTTTATGGTAAGTCTGATAAAAATTGGTTCAGTGATTTTGTAATGCCAGAAGATTGTGCAGGATGTACATGATGTACATACGTATATTACATAACATGCATGTACACTTTGATCAAATAAAGGTTCTCTTAGACCTACGAAGTAGCATTGTAAAAGCATTCAATGAAACATTTTCAGACCTTTTACTGACCAAAGTTTGCCTTTCATTTTATTAACTCTGGCTATTTACGAATTAGAAACTCGCTACTCCCCCATGCATTGACTCCTTTGTAGGTTGTATTGTACGATTCTGCATAATGAGCGGTAGCAATAAATAGAAATGTCACCGAACCTTTACTGCCTTCACAAGTTTATGATGCAATGTTTTCGCATTGTAAATTATGTATATACTCATGTAAAGTAAATCTCATATAACTGTGATCATACAGGTAATAAAATAGATGTTTATAAAAATTTGATTGTGGTATTTTTATGGATAAACGGTTTTCCGGGAATGTTTAAGTAGTAACTTCCCCGGTTTTGCGAGTATTGATTACGACATAATAACATTGTGTCATAGTACACTGACGTCATAAAAGGTTGCCAACCATTCTTATGTAGGACACTCAAACATTTTGGAAAACATTTTTAAATTTGCAAAGATGGAAAGATTTGGAAGCAATACATTTGAACAGCGTTTAAGATCATGCTTGCTACAATACGTCTCCAAAACAAACACACAGACAATGATGCCAGTGGTAAGTCTTCATTGTTAGAATGTTTATATAATATGCAATATCAGTGTTCATGTATTGAAGATATGAATAAATTACGAAATGAAAATAATTTCTAAAGAATGTTAATCATAAAGAAATTCGCCCAAAGATTAAGGAGAAAGGTTCGAATTTTTTCTTCATTTTTTTTTTCAGAGAAAGAATATTCTTCAAATATTAATCTTTCTTTATGGCAAAGAAACAACAAGCAACCATGTTGGATTTTCATATTCCAACAAGGAAGATGTAGCAGGTAAGATAATGATAAATCTCATCTTTCATATAGATTCGACATGTACCAGTACCCGTATGCTAAAATAAAGTACTAGTATTCATTACAGTCAGTATGTCATGAAACATATTAAATAATAAAATTACTTAATTCATTCAGTCTTTAGGAATACATATTTATCTTTTTATTTATTTATAGATAAACAGAAGAAGTACATTCTGTTCTCTTATTTATTTATGGAGGATCTAAAAAAGAATTCGGTGACAAGGACAGACCTGTGTACCCTACAAAGAATGTGGGATCAACACATACTATATCTAGCCAATAGTGGTACGTTATACATAAATTGTATATAAAGGCCAGTATGTTTTAAAATACAAAAATCATTTCAAGATTTTTCTCCTGGTCTTTACTCTTACTTTTTATTAACTTCTTTCTTTAATCTTTCAACGCGTAAATCTCAAAAGCGACTGATGTCATGCAGTTAAGGATAATTATTTTTTATGATTTTGATACATTAGATAGATTACTTCAACTTAAAAAAAAATCACATTTCCCAAAAGCATGCGTTCCTCTCAAATTTCCTATATATCATTCATCATAATTTATTATGATCAAATATATTTTATTTGTAAGGAAATGGAAAAGCAGCTGAAAAATATCAGAGAATTCTAGAAGACAGCGAGGAAACAATTTTTAATGTGAGTGAACACTAGCAAGATACAATGTATCAATACTTTAATCTGTAAGAACATCACTAATATATTTAAAAAATTAATTTATGTGCCATTTATCAAGATTCAGAGACATTCTTTTAGAACTTTTAATTTATATCATTACAGATCAAAAGGTTCCAAAATCACCTCTGTAAAACCAGAGACTTCTTGGTCAAGAACAAGGACCCCCTGTCTGAGAAGTTAGGCTCCACGTTCCGATTTAGAAGGTTAAATTTTATTGAGAGGATGACCACAAATCTGAAGAAACTACTGGGTCATCGTGACCAAGAGGGCTCCTTTATGATTAAGTTCCAGGATATGAACTAATGAGTGGAAACAGAGGACTGTTAGTGACAATAAGGTAGAGACTGGGACTCTGGGCTGTCATTCGTGACTGATGATCAACAATCATCATCAACATACAATCATCATCACAATCCTATTGTTATCACCACATCTACTAGTTACTGTGCATAATAAAAGTTCTATAACTATATATTTTCAGTATCATTTTTTGTAGCATTAGTATCTCATTTATCAATACCAGTAACTATTATCATCATTTTTTGTAGCATTGGTATCTCATTTAGTAGTACTGGTAGCTACATGTATCATCATCACTATTTGTATTATCTCATCTCCTGGTGGCGTTTTAGTCACTTTTTCTTCATTAAAAACAGTCTTTTTTTCCAATAACACACATTTCCATTTATTTTTCAAAATAGTCCTTCTCATTTTGAATTTTGATTCATGTAAATAAACTCATTTATCATCTTCAAATTTGTTCTTTTCACTTCTGTGACCTAACAGTGTATTTAAAACAGTTATCTTTTTCAGATATTCATGCAAATAAGGACCTAGTTCGAAATATCTGACGTTTTCCTGGCTTTTCTTACGATTTGAATTTTTACGTGATAGGAAAACGTCAGAACAGGCGCCATCTCTCGTTTCTGACATATTTCATTTTGTCAAATAAAATCTGCAACATGACTATTTTTGTTACATACATTCTATTTGGAGACATGAATGAAGTTACATCATTTTTAATTTGATCCACGCTCTGCTTTTCCTTATTACAGTGCACCCAAACCTAACAGGACCTGGTGGCTGAAAAGCAGACTCAATATAACTAAGGGTCTCTCACAAGCGAGCGAGTTACATAAATTCCCAAAATAAGTGCGGTCACCCAAAAGAGTGACAAGACACATCACTTGAGAATTCGCCGCCTCCAACCGGAGGCGGCATTCTCGGGTTGATTTTCGATACTTTCGAACCGAATTAAATGTGAAACACACAACTTATCAATAGTACAATACTTTTAGTATTGTTAATTAGTTAACATATAGTTAACATCTCACTAACATCGTTTTTTTTTTTTTTTTTTTTTTTTTTTTTTTTTTTTTTTTGGTTTGTTTTTTGGTTCGTTTATGAAATATACAATCCGATGAAAACATTTTATCTGACTGTCGAGATTTGTTTCCATTTCGTGCATTTAAAATCTTGCGAGTCCTGTATCAAATGTTGACCGATGTTTTCTTTTCATCGACATTGGCGAGTACCAGAAGCATTGTGCAATTGAAAAATTGTGAGTTCGGCATTTAATTCAGTTTGCAAGTCCGGTTGGAGACGGCGAAATTTCCAGTTTTCGTAATGGCACCGGTTCTGACGTTTTTCTGGCACGTAAAATATCAAAATCGTGAAAAAAGCCTGGAAAACGGCAGATATTCGGACTAATAAGGACCATAACTCTAATAAAAAGGAAAATAAATCACAGAAAGTAAAATAATATGCAACTCTATTTAACAAAATTGTAACAAACAATTTTAATTACACAAAGCTTAAACTGTTAAGTAACCCCAAGACAACTGTAAAACGAGTAACATGGCTGCAATACTGTAGCCCTCTCCAATATTTTTAATTTGATATTTTCACAAAATTTTTATTGGTTGATTCAAACCCCAAGGGAATATTAATGTTTGACTAAGTCAGAAATCTGAACAGATTCCCTGTATATACCTATATACACTTAACAGAGATATGTTTCAAGAGAAAACAAAACAAAACAAACAAAACAAAAATAAAAAATGGAGAGAATTACATTATTGCAGCTAATGGACAGACAAAAATTGAGATAAATCTTTATCATTGTAGGAGACTAATAAATAAAGCAAATTGTTATTTCTTCTTTATGGAAGTTTTATTGGTACAAAGGAATGCAACCAAAAGACACATCATCCAAAATCATACTGCAAATTCAAACAAACTGAATCAATATAACAAACATTACATCCCATTTACAGTTAAATATTTAGAATGAATCATAAAACAATGCAACTTTTATCAGTAAAATATATGAACTTCAATATCTGAATTTTTTTCAGTTTCCACTATTATATGCTATAATTTCTACAAAATGAGACCATAGATAATTTTTATATTATAGTTTTTACAATCTGTTCTGGCTAATTTTATCACCATTTACTAGACTTAATGTATGTATAACCTGAAACTACAACTTAATTCTGATGCAGCATGAAATAGATTTTTCTCTGACAACACAAATAAATAAAAGAAAAAAACTTCTATCACCTATAATAAAAGGAAATACAAAATATAGATGGTACTGGTGCACAACTGGTATGAACATACACATTATTTTACACTGTTCATGTAACAACTCTCACACATTTTTTTATACACAACATAGTTAACATCTCAAAATGACAATTTTACTAACTAGTAAAATTGTATAAATAATTTCTTGATCAAAATAGTAATGGAACCAAAACATATTGTGTTTTGCTAAAATTGATGATTAGCCTTTGTAATACATTAAACAACTGTTGAGCTACATTCTTTAATTAATACCATGACACTTACTCATCAAACAGATTATCAATTTCAGCACTATAACCAATCATTCATTAACATATACACATATACAGCAAGTAAAGAATGTAACTGAATGATCCTCAAAATGATTATTTACACTAAAGCTATTTTAGACACTTTAGTACATGTACTGACCCTTAAACTTAAAGACTGTTTTTAAGGTTCATTGACCCTTTGATAAGAGAGATAACTCTCACTAGGATAAATGACTATATTCCCTTTATAAAATTATCAAGTTAAACATTTCATTTCTTTCAAATTTTGCCCCACAATGTATGCTAAAATTGTTACATTTTAATTAGACATTAGATATAAGTGAATAGAGGGAGGATGAACCTTATTAATATATATATTCTTTTGTCTCAATTCAAGAAATATTTTATTGTCAGTAATGAAAAAAAAAATTACATTAAAACTACATCAAGGCTCTTGCCAAAACAATTGTACCAAACCCTTTATTTAATACATTCTATTTCAAATGGACAATGGTTGAACTAATTTGAAGAATTGTCTACAGTTTATTATGACTAAACTACTCTTCTAACTTCAAAGAATCTCTTTAAATAGTAGACCTGTCCCAATGTCATGGCCACCAGCACAAGGGCTTCAAAGAAAGACCACAAAACAACCCGGGAATTTGTGTTTTCATTGACTGAAAAAGACACCAATATTCAATAAATCATTAAAATAAGCAAACATAATCACACATTTTTTTTAAAAAGCCCATGGGCTGCAATGCTTGCAAACCCTATCTCTTCCTTAAAAATAATTATGTACAAAAATGAAACCTTTCGGCATAAGGGTGGGACTAAGTTGGTCATATATTGAAATCAAAATTCAATTCCATTTGAAAATACAGTAATATCACATCTTTTGAATTCAATTACACTGAGAAAAAACTTCAAGATATCCAAAGATTCAAGACAACAAGTTTAATATATTCAAAAAAAAAATTAGAACTTCCAAGTGACTTTGTCATATCCATGGTTTTTGAGATACTTGTGTTCAAAGTACTCAAGTTCAACTGTATTAGTCATCTAGGCTCAAATAAGGGTGTCTGGGGATCTACCTTGGATTGCACATGTATTTCATATACCCTGAGGCCTTTGTAACCAAATAGTTTCATTACTCAAGCTCAGTTTTTGAAAATACATGTAATCATAAATGTTTGTAAAAGTCGATCTGCAGTGTATAAACGTTCAAAAGAAAAAAAAATTAGAGGCTTAGACATAATGATTTATTTTATTTAAATAAAATTTGTAATACAATGATCAATTAGTCCTCTTCTAAAATTGTGAAATTCATATCCCCTAGCTGAGGTTCAAGTATTAAAAGTAGCTAAACCAAAAGAATACAAATACATTTGAAAATCTTCACAATTTAGGGATTTATAGTGGACTACCTTTTTGCATGATTATAATGAACAAAAAGCTCTTTTGAGCATATATTTACCCTTGGGCAAGGGTTTAGACTCCAGGTTGGGGATATCATAATTATATTGAAAACACATTACATATTTGAAAACCTTTCCCTTAATTCCTGGATGTCTTTCAATTAAACTTTCATTTCTGCTGTATTATAATAAACAGATAGACATCTATCAAAATTGCGATCACCCGAGTTTCTAAGGTGACCTCAAAATTCAGAGATATGTATAAGTTAACTTCATTTAATGTAATGAATATTTGTGGAATTCAATGCCTTTGGAGTAATCTGAAAATTACTTTTAATTGGGGTATTCATGTCAATAAAGTCTTTTAAAAGGCTGATCAACAGTTTAATTAAGTTTGAATGACTTACTTGCTCTATGGATCCTCTCCCTGACTTCCATGTACTCTTGTTCATGTTTCACACCTGTGAGTGCTGTAGACAATTCATTTATCATTTCTGTCAGTTTGTTATGATTAGCTAAAAAAAAAAAAAGTGAAATTCAGACATTTTATATGTATCAACAACTTAAAATGTAAGGTTGTGATTTATTGACATGTTAAATGCAGTACTTGAATATAATCTAACAACAATATTAAAATTGTAAAACATTTCATAGAATCTTTTCCAATACTTTTGCAAATAAAAATGGAACAACGTGCAGTATTTTTAGAGAAGTTAATGCTGATGAGAGCTTTCAAAACTACATAGGTCTGTACCTACACAGGCATATATGCTTTCAGTTTCAACAAAACACTGGAAGAAATAATTCACTTGAGCTTAAAACAAAACTTTAAGGTATGACAAAAATTCAAATAAAGTAAATTTATACACAATTATACATACCATCACCGTCCATATCTGTCTCTTTAGGTTTCTCTCCAATGTCCATTGTAAACATGAGAATCTTTGGGGTCACGGTGGACATTTTGTTATTAAAACAGTATCTGTATACACCATCCATGTGGGCTGCAAATGTGTATTTTCCATTGGATTCCCTGTCTCCCTGATGAATGACTTTCCCATCTGGTCCATATATCTACCATATTAAGTTAACAGTTGTAAACCCAATTAAAAAGGAAATTGAAATTTTTGTAAACATAAAACAAGAGGCCTATGGACCACAATGCTCACCTGAGCCACTATGGCCCTGCTGTTCTTCATCAGCAGATTTTCACCATATATTCCTATGTAAAACTTTGATAACACACTGAGGCCCCACTCTACCCCCAATGGTCATGATTTGAACAAATTTGAATCTACACTACCTGAGGATGCTTCCATATGAATATGATCGATCATGGCTTTGATATTCTTGAAGAAAAAAAAATTTTCTTCTATATTCCAATGTAAAACTTTGATCATACATTGTCGCCCCAACTTAACCCCAGGGGCCTAGATCAGAAAAAAAATTGAATCTATACTACCTAAGGGTGTTACCATATGACTAACCATGGCTTTGCTGTTCTTGAGAAGATTTTTTAAAAATTTTACCTATATATTGCTATGTAAAACTTTGATCACCCATTGTAGCCACATCCTACCCTCTGGGGTCATGATTTGAAGAAACTTAATTCTACACTACCTGAAGGTTCTTTCATGAAAATATGACTATAAACCATGGATTTGCTGCTCTTGAGAGGAAGATTTTGAAAGATTTTACTTTTATATTCCAATGTAAAACTGATCACCTGTTGTGGCCCCACCTCTCTGGGATCATGATTTGAGCAAAATTAAATCTTCACTATGTTACAAAGCTTTTACATAAGTTTCATCTTTTCTGTCTAAATGGTTCTCAAGAAGATTTTTTAAAATTCACTATTTCTTAACTATCTCCTCTTGAAAGGGGACATAGCCCTTTATTTGAACAAACTTTAATCCCATTCAACCAATGAATTAGGATGCTTTGTGGCAATTTACATTGAAATTGGCCCAATGGTTCTGGACTCTGGAGAAGAAAATGAAAATGTTAAAAGTTTATGACAACAATATTGTTATACAATGGACAAATTTCGATCAGAAAAGTTCACTTGAGCCTCATCAAGCTCATTAAAATTAGATGTTTCAAATCCCCTACTGCTTCTGAAACATCTAACAACATCCCATACAGGGTCACATCAGCTTTTGGCAAATCAGATACAAGCTTCTGTATATGACTCTAAAAATAGTTCCTTGTCTACATTTAAACATTTCTGATGCTCAATAGTCTGTCTTGCATTGATTTAAGTTAATTGTCAATGGTATAAATTGAATGTATAGTCCATCCATCTGCCATTCTTACATAAACAAGAGGCCCATGGGCCACATCGCTCACCTGAGCACATTGGCAAGGCAAAAGCACAAATCAGTTCAGTACTGAAAAGATTACGGGGGGGGGGGGGGGGGGCTTGAATTTTAAACTACCTGATGATGCTTCCATGTCAATATATAATTTGTTTAATTTGTTTTAACAAATGGCTTTGTTGTACTTGAGAAGATTTTTTAAAAAATTCCCATATATTCCTCTGTAAAAATTTGATCCCCCATTGTGGCTCCTCCCTATCCCAGGGGTCATCATTTGAACAAACTTGAATCTACACTACCTGAGGATGCTTCCATATCAATATGACTAAACATAGCTTTTCTGTTCTTGAGAAGAAATTTTTTTCTATATGTTCCTATGTAAAACTTTCGATCCCCTTATTGGGCCCCACCCTACCCTCGGGGGTCATCATTTAACAAAATTGAATTTACACTACCTGAGGATGCAACCATATCAAAATGACTAAACATGATTTTCAGTTCTTGAGAAGAAGATATTTTCCTATATGTGCCTATGTAAAATTTTCGATCCCCCATTATGGCCCATCCCTATCCCCTGGGGTCATCATTTTAACAAACTTGAATCTACACTACCTGAGGATGCTTCCATATCAAAACGACTAATCATGGCTTTGCAGTTCTTCATCAGAACATATCTTCCTATATATTTCTATTTCAGACTTTTATCCTCCATTGTGGCCCCACCCTACCCCCGGGGGTTATGATTTGAACAAACTTGAATCTACACTACCTGAGGATGCTTCCACATAAATATGATCAATCAGGGCTTTGCTGTTCCTGAGAAGAAGATATTTAAAGATTTTTCCTATATATTTCTATGTAAAACTTTGATCCTCCATTGTGGCCCCGCCCTACCCCCGGGGGGTCATGATTTGAACAAACTTGAATCTACACTACCTGAGGATGCTTTCATATAAATATGACCAATTAGGGCTTTGCTGTTCCTGAGAAGAAGATATTTAAAGATTTTTCCTATATATTTCTATGTAAAACTTTGATCCTCCATTGTGGCCCCGCCCTACCCCCGGGGGGTCATGATTTGAACAAACTTGAATCTACACTACCTGAGGATGCTTTCATATAAATATGACCAATTAGGGCTTTGCTGTTTAATTGAGAAGAAGATTTTTAAAGATTTTTCCTATATATTTCTATGTAAAACTTTGATCCTCCATTGTGGCCCCGCCCTACCCCCAGGGGTCATGATTTGGATAAATTTGAATCTACACTACCTGAGGATGCTACCATATAAATATGACCAATAAGGGCTTTGCTGTTATTGAGAAGAAGATTTTTAAAGGTTTTTCCTATATATTTCTATGAAAAACTTTGATCCTCCATTGTGGCCCCGCCCTACCCCCGGGGGTCATGATTTGAACAAACTTGAATCTACACTACCTGAGGATGCTTCCATATAAATATGACTCATCATGGCTTTGCTGTTATTGAGAAGAAAAATTTTTAAAGATTTTTCCTATATATTTCTATGTAAAACTTTGATCCTCCATTGTGGCCCTACCCTACCCCCGGGGGTCATGATTTGAACAAACTTGAATCTACACTACCTGAGGATGCTTCTACATGAGTTTCATCTTCCCTAACTTTGTGGTTCTTGAGAAGAAGATTTTTAAATGATGCTACTAATTTTTCACTAATTCTTCATTATCTCCCCTTGAAAGAGGGCGTGGCCCTTCATTTGAACAAACTTGAATCCCCTTCACCCAAGGATACTTTGTGGCAAGTTTGGTTGAAATTGGCCCAGTGGTTCTTGAGAAGAAGTCGAAAATGTGAAAAGTTTACAGACTGATGGACGGACAGACAGACAGACGGACAGACGGACTACAGACAAAATGTGATCAGAAAAGCTCACTTGAGCCTTCGGCTCAGGTGAGCTAATAATGCAAGCGAAAATGCATATATGCAAGATATTTGCATGTCACAATCATACAAAGCCATGCATATAAGTTTAATTTTTTACTACAAAGCTCCTCAGGCATTCAAGTTTGGCTATAAAAAAGAAACATATCCGAACTACAAACAAATATTTCTGTGGCAGTGATTTTATTGGTCACAGTGGCGTGACCCCTGATGGGATGTTGTTAGATTTTGGGAAGTGGTATGTTAGATTTTGAGAAGTGGTAGTGGAACATCTTATTTTAACAAGATTCTGAGATGAAAGGGTTTGTTTTATTTGTGAATGAGAGACTCTTTAGAGATAAAGACACATTCTGCACATCACCAAAATATGACCTCTATTTTCTACTCAGTTGTATTATAAGTTTATAAAACATAATGTGAATTGTAGCAAAAACAAATAATTTACAGTATAGAAATTATAACAATTAGGTTTTTGATGAACATTGCACTAGGAAATAATGGATGGAAGTACAAATTCATTGCTTTTTATTGCAGTCTAAATAAAAAATAAAATTCAACGTAAATTGTTAATAAGGAAAATATATTAGGAAAATACATTTCTTGATAACCAAGGTCTAGAACAAATGGAGCTGGCAAACGGACTCACTCAAGTGAACAGGCAGATAGGGCGAATGAACCCGATACCACTAAAAAAATTCTGTCTAGTTTGGCAATCAGTGCACTACCACTCGTATCTTTTCACATTGTGCAAGACTTCGGCTTTATCAAAGCTTTAACACATAAGAAAGCAAAAACGCATATTTACAAAATCCATTGTAGAAGAGAGGATGGATAAAAATATTAGGAATAAGTATTCGGATACTCCCCCTCCCTTTCCTAAGTTGTGAAATTTTTCATTTAAAAAGAACTTCAGTTTTATTTTAAAACAAAATTTGCATAAAGCAGTCTACGATAACCTACCTTAACATCTATATCGAGGAAACCTCCTTCTGCAACTTCGAACATTAAACTCATTTTTGTCCCAGATGTTACTTTGTCGAAAAAGCATTCTTCAGCGTGAGCATCAATATTTAAAAAATAACAATCAATTGATTTTAAGCTAATAATTGATATGAAGACAGCTATCCCTATGTTAAAATATCCCATCTTTAAATAGGAACTTATTTCAGAAAATTAACTTGGTTACAAACACGTCGGCTAAAAATGAAACAGGATGCCACGTAAATTTTACTTCTGCGCATGCGTTCTTCCTTGGGTTTGGGTTCATGATATTTTCGACATCATGACGTTTCGGCACTCCTGCGATTCCATAGCAAACTACAAAACATATAATGCCTCGACACCCGATATTTTTCATCAAGTTCTATTAATAATTTTGAGATAATACAATAATTCTTATGATTACTGTGCGCAGCATCGGGCAGAATATTAAGGTACGTGTATTTCCACAACCTAACAATTTTAATGGTTCAAAGTCGAAAAACTACATTTATTTTCATTGAATAAAGTTTAAATTAACTAATAATTGCAAAAAATGTATAGGTTGCCATATTTTTTAAAAGATGTATTTAACTATTTCACATTAGAAGTACAATAAAAAAAATGTCTGAATGAAGAAGGAGTTATTGCCTTCTCAACATTTTTTTAAAGGTTGAATAATTGATTAAATTTAAATAATAGTAATATACATTTTGAAATTCCTTTACTTAACAATATTTTTCATTTCATCTATTAAAATGTATTCTTTCAAAAGTATTTTTCTATTGGATATGAATTAATTCAAACTATATGTATGTCCTCGTAATCAAAGATTCGAGGGCATATAGTTTTTGCTCTCTCCGTCTGTTTCTTTTGTCTGTTAATCTGTTTGTCCGCAAAAACTTTAACCTTGTCCATAACTTTTAATAACCTGAAGCTATGGCTTTAATTATTCCTTGTGAAAAGACATTTCTTTGTGTACCAACATATTTGACTTCTTGACCTTGGAGTTTGACCCACTTTTGCAAACTTTTACCACACTTTAACCTTGGCCATATCTTTTGAACAGTTGGTGCTAGTGCTTTCCTATTTCACATGTGTATTCCTTGGAATAAGACTTTTCCTTGGATAAAAATATTTTTTTTACCTTTTGACCTTGAAGTTTGACCCCTCCCCTCTTCGTGCATAATTTGGTTTATCTACTAGTATTGAAAAACATTTTCTGCGTCTCTCTCTCTCTCTGGTTCGAATAACCAATGTTGCTTCAAAACAATTCTGTATTCTAGAGACTTTAATCCCGGCAATCAAATCAAAATTAGAAATTCGATCCGCTCAGGTAAATCACCACTGATCAGTTTGGGCGGATTAAAATTATAATTTGATCGTTGATCTCAGTGTAAGATACTTCAGTATGGGGTATGTTGCGTTTCAAACTTACAATGAATGAAACAGACAATATACAAAACTGATTAAACCACGATTTCAATTTGAAAACTAGATGTGTTTGAGAAACACTTCCGGATGACAGCTCTCGGCGAAGGTTAAAGTTTCTCAAATGGAAGTCAAACTCCGAGGTCCACAGATCAAAAATGCTGGTGCCCATAAAAGGACTTATCACAAAGAATACACATGTGAAATATGAAAACACTTGCATCAAACATTCAGAAATTATGGTTCAAGGATAAAGTTTTTTTATTAAATTAGGTCAATCAACGCCATTAGGTAAAAAATATTGGTACTAAGAAAAAGTTTTATGACAAGGAATACACCTATGAAATATGAAGGCCTTAGCACCAAGCATTCAAAAGTTATGACCAAGGCAAAAGTTTTTCAAAAGTAGGTCAAACACCTCCAAGGTCAAAATGTCAAAATTGTTGTTACTCAAAAGAAATTCTTGTCACAAGTAATACACATGTGAAATATGAAAGACTGAGCAATTACCATTCAAAAGTTATGGACAAGGTTGAAGTTTTTCAGAAGTTAGTCAAACTTCACCGTCAAGGTCATGAGGTCAAAATTTGGGGGAGTTTCTTATCACAAGGAATACTCATATGAAAGCCCTAGCACAAACGTTCCGGCAAAAATTATGGCCAAGGTTAAAGTTTACAAAAGCAGACCAAAGCCCATGATCAATATTAAAAGGTAAAATTGTTGGTACGGAAGGGACGGTATTGTCACAAGGAATACACTTATGAAATGGAGCGCTGTGGATCAGAAACCTCGACTTGAGAAGATGATCATTTTCATCCCTCCAAAAATTATTATTATGATTGGCCATGACCTCATAAGAGTATTCGATGTCATGAATAGTCACAAAAGGGGCGTGTATACCCTTTCTGAATAGAGTATAAATTGGAACCCATGATTTCATTTAGTAAATATATTGCATTTACTACATGTACGAATTCAAAAGATGTATTTTATTTGTTTTTATACGTAGAACACAGAATAAATAAAAACTCAAACATGCATTGCTATAGAAATGAATAGGTATATATTAGATAACTATTCATTTCTATAGCATTAATTGCCTAAACTAAGTTAACGTTTCGATAAGATAAGGCATCAATATATATATTGATTCAGTCCTAGTATACACATATATCCATGTAATATTTTCTGAAATGTTGGTCACTGGGCTTTAAGAATGTATCGTTAACATAATTCTGTTATTTATGTCTCCAAAAATAAGACAAAGTAAAAAAAATAAATAAAAATAAATAAATAAATAAATAAATAAATTTTAAAAATAGAACAAAAAGGCCTCGGGTCCTACCGTGGTGTTGGTGTGGGATCTATCCTATCCACAACTAACATCTATGTCTATAATGATAAACGTGGGGTTCTGGCATGACCAAAAAGGTAATTTAAAAAAGATGTACCGACTAAACTTTGAACAATAACAGAAATCATAAGTAAAAAGTCTTAATCTGTTTTATTTTATTTTATTTTATTTTATTTTATTGTATTTTATTTTATTTTATTTCATTTTATTTATTATATTAAAAAAAAGAGAGGGGGCATATCGAATTCTGGGATACCTCGTGCTATTGGTGGCGACTTATCTTGGGGGCGAGTTGTCCTACAATGTTATTTATACTTTCGGAAGGCCTCGGGACCTGGGAACTGAGTAAGTCAGGTGCTCGATTTTCAGATAACCAAAGTAAAGATGACAGGAATGTAAATAATAAGGAAATTACAGTTGTGCGGTCAATGGATCTTTTTCCTGAAAGAAGACACATTATGGATGATTCTCTCGAGTCGGTGACTGTGGTTGATGTATATGATCAGGCTGCAGGAATTGGGAAGGAATTTGAGAAGCTGATCGAAAGCTATGGTGTTGACGCTGTAACTGATTTGATGCCCAAAGTGATAAAGGCCTTGGAGCAGTTAGAGAGTCTTGCAGGGAGATACGAAAAAGAAAGCAGTGAAATATCAGAACTTAGATACACTATTGATAAACTGGAAAATGAAAAACGAGAGAGGGCACAAGAGAGACACCGCTATGAAGAAGTAATGTTATGCATGAATATTAATATCCTATATCGGTATCAGTTATAGTATATATATAGAGATGTTAGAAATGTTTACGAATCAAAATCATTTTGATTTATATATTAAATACTAAATAGCCTGTCTACTTAATCATGATAGCATTGCTTCTTACAGATGATCTTTCTTTATAAATGCTCTGACTCGGAGAAGTGAGTGGAAATTTCATAAGAAATGAAATCAAGTGTATAAAATGTGAATATGTTATTGTTATTGTAAGATTTAACATTTAAGGGTAAATTTCATTTGCTTATCATTAAGGAGCTTCTACAAATTGAGGATAACTGGCAGAGAGAGACTAAGGATTTATTAAAGGCTGTGTCCAACCTACAGGAAGAAAATAAACGCCTACAGGAAAGATTGGTAGACACTAAACAGGCAGTGGCAGAGGAGGTGGAAGCTGTCACTCGAAGTGAGTTTTAGGTGTGATGATGGATGGTGTCATTTGAAGTATGACACCTGTATATATATAGAAGTATATGTATTACATCACCTCTTCATTAGGCCATCATTAATTTTTTTTTTGTTTTATGTACCCATTTTCGAAGGTGGTTAAGTAGATAGGTAGTTAGTAGGTAAGTTTTTTTTTTTTTTTTTTTTTTTTTTTTTTGTGCTGGAACACTTTGGTAATCAGCAATCACAGACTTAAAGTTTATCGATGTTTTCATTACAGTGCAGCTAGACAGATTTAATTATTTACTGATGTAGAAACTTTCTATTTAAAAATCATCTTTGAAAAAAGATAAACCTTAACTCTAAAATTTTATGATAAGGACAATCTGTATTCCCCTTAAAAAAAAAAACAAAAAAGAATTTAAAGTACTGCAAAAAAAACAAAATGATTGGGTAGGGTTGACTGGGCGGTCGGTGTACATTAAACAAATCATTTTTTATTGCTGGCCTTATAATATCATTGGAACCAATTGCCCAAATGTGATATACATGTATATGTGATAGCCTGTTTGGGATATGATATCTCACAGATTTTAAATGAGAAGAAATTTATTTAACTATTATTATTATAAATCCACTTAAAAGACATAAAAACAATTTTTGGTAGACTTTTTTCTCCATTTCTTCAATGTTTAAGATATTGATCCCATATAAGATCTAACTTTTCTTGGGGATCAATCTCATAAACTGTAGGATTATATAGAAAAACTTGTGTAACATTGAAGCAATCACCCATCCAAGGGCTATGCAGACTCGCCATTTCTTGCCTGAAATCGAGGGAGATTCACCACATTACTAGAAACTGTATACTGCTCAGGAAAGCTTAGTTCATGCTAATAGCATGGGTTCTCTTTGAGTGCCTGGGATCTCTTCAGTAATGGGAATCAGATGCTGTCCAAGGACCTTAAGTCTGTACATTAGCACAAAGTCCTACCCCTAGAGTTTAATGAAGCAGGTTAGGGAACTCTTCAGTAATGGCAACCCGTATCGTCCACAGATACTAAGTCTGTAAATGGACACTAAGTCGTAGCTCTAAGGCTTCCTGAAGAAGATCACCAAACACCAGAATCCCACTGCTGCCACCAGTTTTGTATTGTGAAGTGGTCACCCATTCAAGGGTTATACAGACTCACTGTTGCTTAACTTGCCTGAAATAGAGGGAGACTCAACCACATCACTAGAAAAGTTAGCTCTCTATCGAGGCAGTACAAGTTCCCTTTATACTGTCTGCTGCACTTGCTTTCCAAATGTTGTTGCTTTTAGTATATTTTCATGCAGATTACATAAAAAATATATGATAAATTTACAATTTTTTTGTACTACATGTACAAATTTATATCCCTTTTGGGATATTATAACCAAAATGGGCTATTATATCTCATTTGGGCAATGTCTCAACCTTTTATTTTTTTGTGGAATGATGTTATTCGATATTCAAACTGTTCATGACTAGAAATTGAGAAATTGCTGTCAGGAAGGAGAGTTATACTTTACTGTTTGCCTTTATGATATTTATGATGGTCAGTCATTGGATGGACCTGGCCAGTTAAAGATTGTGTTATCACTACATAGAGCATCTTTGCGAGTTTGTCACTTGTGGATTTATAATCTTGGGAATGAATCCCTTTCAGAAAATGTACTTCACTATTGCAGCATCTATTAGAAGTATCATTTGTGATATGCATGCCAAGATTTCATATCTATGCAAGTGTTTTTTAGGGATTTATAATGAATTTACCGTACATGTTTCAACAAATTACAATATCCAGTTGACTAAAGTAATGTATCCATTGTAAGGGAAGTCGAACATGCAACATTGATCAGTATTGATATTAATTTTATAAACCTATAGGTTTTATCTTCATTTGTTAGTCCATCTATTGTTTCATCTGTGTGTCTGTATGTTCTTATCTTTCTGTCAATTTAGTTTTCCAGAATTTTTTTTGGGGTGGGGGCTTTTTAAATATTGCATCAAGACTTGGTACAGAAGATCTTTTTTTAGACTTGAAAGTAACAAAGTTTTATTTTCTGTAATTTTGGGGGGTTAAAATTTGGTGGAATCAAACTGAGATTTCACATTGTCTGCACACAATAAATTGACCTCCTGAATAACCATTGAATGATTCTACTCACATTTCAGTTCTGACAGATCAGAGAAAAATCAATAGGGACTATATGAACCTTGACATAGGAATTCTGTAACACTGTACAATATGTACAGAATACAAAGGGTTTTTGATTCAGAAGATTCATTAAAAAAATATTTTACACATGCTGCTCCACAAATAATTTTGAAGAGTTTGACTGAGTGTTGGATGAGACTCAAGGGGAGGAAGATGTTTTAAAAATAATTTCCGTTTTCCATTGATTTCTATAGTGAAAAACTCAAGTTTTACCAAAATTATAGAGTTATCTCTTTTTTCCCCCCAAATAAGATATGTTTTGTGAAAATCCATGTAAATATCTATATAAATATGAAAAATTATTCAAATTTGATAACTTTTGAAAATTGACTTGGAGGTAGATGGGAGAACAAAACTATCGTTCACAGTTCTTTAGAGGAAGATCCTTCCCCTACTGAGTTTTAGCAGCTAATTGTTCGGTTTTTTGTTTTTGTTTGTTTTCTTTGGTTAAGGAGTTTTCTTTTTAAGTACTTCTATGCCCTATATTAATCAGAGATGCATGGAGGATGCTTCTAATGTGTTTCATTGTACCAGTCAAGGTTTCAGATGCTGCAATTTCAACTAAAGAATGACCAGGTTAATGTTTTTGGAGCAGGTCTCATTTCCAGGTAACTAAAGGCCATATATTGACCAAACTTGCATGGATGATACATCTAAGGATGTACACTACTGAACTTGCTTCGGATGCTGGATCTGACCTACATTTTCCTGATGAGTGACCAGGTTAAAGTTTTTGGAGCAGATCTCATTTCCAAGTAACTTTAAGCCCTATATTGACCAAACTTGCATGGATGATACATCTAAGGATGTACACTACTGAACTTGCTTCGGATGCTGGATCTGACCTACATTTTCTGGATGAGTGACCTGGTTAAAGTTTTTGGAGCAGATCTCATCTCCAAGTAACTATAAGGCCTATCTGAACCAAACATGCTTGGATGATGCATCAAGGGATGAACACTACTGGACTTGCTTCAGATGCTGGATTTGACTTACATTTTCTGGATGAGTGACTAGTTTAAAGTTTTTAGATAAGTCCATTCCCAAGTAACTGCAAGCCCTATCAGACCAAAATTGCATAAATGTTCCATCTGTGCATGTACACTACTAGATTATTACTTTAGTGTGGGACTTTGCCTTTCTTAAAGACAATATTCATTGAGGCTCTGTAATCTCTGATTACCTATGTTTATTTATTGCAGAAACTGAAGAAAAAGAGATTGAAGTGTTAACTAAATTAAAGGAAACAGTTGACAAACAGAGAGAAGAATTGAGAAAGTTTAAGACAGAAGCTAAACACAGAATATCGGATTGTGAGGCTGTAAGTTGTAGATTATAGGAACTACTGTTATACAGTTATGTCTCATTTTGTGATTTTTGAAATGCAGTAGTACAGGGATCTGACTGTAGATTGGTTTTTTTTCCCTTTTATTAAATACCAGTATATGTTGTAAGGCACCATCCTCACAGTGTCAGGAGTCCTGAGCCCACTCCTGGTCAAATTCTATTTTCTTAAGAACAGGAGGAAAACCAATAGCCATATTGTATGCAAGCTGTTTAAATCGTTTGACCCCATGCAAAGGCTAAGATGGAGTCTCGGTAAACAAAGTTTTACTCATAAATATGTAGGAAAAATCTTGAACATTTCTTTAAAGAACAGCAAAGCCACAAGCATAACCATGCATGTATGTAGCATAGACTGAAGATTCAGGTTTGTCAAATTATGGCCCAGGGGCTAGGGCTGGGACCACAGTAGGGTTATAAAAGTTTAACACAGAAACATATTAGCTTCTGCAAAATAACATGCATGGTTACCATTTTTAAATTAAACTTGACATCACTTTACTGAAATCTTGGAAATTGTGTTTATAAGCACGGTATTTTTAAGCTTTAAATTTTATATACATGTATCTACTTACGTATTTATTTGTATGGAAGAAAGTTGTGACTCACTGTAGCCCAAAGGCCTCTTATTTCTCATATGACTAAATTTATTTTGTAAACTTTAATTAATTTTCAAAAGAAAACATTAGGAATCAATTGCACAAAAGATAATTTTTTCACTGAACAGTTATCTTTCAGTTTCCTCTGTTATTAGCAAGTTGACTGTCATTTAAAGAAGCAAGCATTCATGCAACTCTGTTCATGTCATTGATTTTAATTATTTGTGAAGCCCCATCAGTCCCAGTGACAAGTAATTTACAACTTCAGTGAACACACTAGTGGTTATAACTAAAAGATCACATTAGACATTTAAGAAGGAAAAAGGTTTCTGACAAAGTATGGTGGTTAAGTGAACAAACAGAGATAAATTGAGTGACAATAATACCAGCTGCATGTATCTCAGTGAATTAGACTAGGTAATATTTCCACATAAATATTTTTGTTTGTTTATTGTCTAACGTCCCTCTCGAGAATTTTTCACTCATATGGAGACGCCACCACTTGCTGGTGGAGAGCTGCAAATTTTGACCTATACTCGGCACTCGGGGCCATTGAGCAGTGAGGGATCTCTTTCGTGCCAGCACCTACTGCGACACAGGACCTCGGTTTATACGGTCTCATCTGAAGGACTGGTCTCCACATTCCACAGTGGGATTCGAACCCGCGACTCTAGGATCAACTCCTTACTCCGCGACTCAAGAGCGAACGCTCTAACCACTGCGCCACGTGGGCGACCCACAGAAATATAAATTGTCCCTGTATATGATTTTGGAATTTAAAAGAAAAGTAATGTTATTCAATGAAATGTATAAAAAGCTGGGGAATTTATCTGAATCATTAACATTCATTTTTAGGAGATACATGTAACGGATATTTTTGACCTTAATTGATATACTGTACTAGCAGTAGGCAGTATGTAATATGCTTCAAATATTGTTATTTTCTAACATATTAGGGCATTTATTGTACATGTTCTCATATTTTTAAAGAGTTATAATCTTACACAGTATTGTAATTTTAGATAGCTTTACAAAGTCTGACACAATATCACTCTTATTTACACAGCTTCAGAGCCAGCTAGATCAGATTGTGAAGGTGAATGCTGACCTAAGGAGGAGCAACAGTATACAGAAGAAGCAGGCCCACACCTTGCTGGAGGAGAAAAGTGAATTGGAGGCACAGCTGGCGGACAAGGAGCAGCAAATTACCAAAATCACACAGATGATCAAAGAACAGGACGAGATTCAAACACAGCAGTCAACAGCTTCCCCTCAGCCCGCTCACCCCTCCCTCGAAGTAGTAAGACTGTTATCTTTAAACCTTGATAGTTATTTGTTAAAGGTGATTTTCCATACATTAAGAATTTCATTTACAGAATTTGAAACTCTAAAGAGTTGAAGTATAGTTCTATTGAATTCAGTTTTGAAAATACCAAACAGAAATGACATCCCTCATGTACAAAAATAGGAATAGGATTTCATCAGAGAAGTTTTATTTCTATCTGCCACTGGGATTCCTTAGAATCATCACAGTTCTGGCATAATGTCCATGGGGAGCATCTTGGATAATGAAGGATGACCATCCACTCCTTTCCTCTTTTACCTTTGGCAGACCAAGCCAATATTTGTATGACCCACAGTTAACCATCTATTACCGTAGATTTTGAGAGTTCAGTCCCTTTATAGTACATCATGCATAGCAAATCTCTGTGTTGCTTGTCATTTTCGGCAGTTATAGCAAAAATAAACTTGAACTTGACAGAGAATTCAAGATATGATGATCTTTAGAGGTGTAACGATACAGCAATACATCAATCGTATTGATCGCAAAGGGCTCACAATACGCATATCGTATCGCCATGTATGTATGGTGATACAGTACAAGATAATTTGCATTGTTTTGTTTGAAACTTCTATATACAACCTAACAAATTTTAATGTTTTAAAATGGCTGAAAAAAGGTAGCAAAGAAAAAATACAATGTGAAGACTATAAATCCACCTTCTATTAACTTTGGTCAGGGTTATCAAGATATTCTTTTTATGCCCCCGGATCAAAAGATCCCGGGGGTATATTGTTTTTGTCCTGTCTGTCTGTTTGTCTGTTTGTCCGTTTGTCTGTTTGTTTGTCTGTCTGTTGTCAACTTTAACCTTGCCCATAACTTTTGATTGGTTGGAGCTATGACTTTCATATTTCACATGTGTATTCCTTGTGACAAGACCTTTCTTTGGGTACCATCATATTTGACCTTTTGACCTTGACCTTGGAGTTTGACCCACTTTTGCAAAATTTTATGAAACTTTAACCTTGGCCATAACTTCTGAACAGTTGGTGCTTGGGGTTTTAAACTTCACATGTGTATTCTTTGTGACAAGGCCTTCCTTTGGATACCAACAACTTTGACCTTTTGACCTTGACCTTGGAGTTTGACCTACTTTTGAAAAACTTTAACCTTGGCCATAACTTTTGAACAGTTGGTGCTTGGGGTTTCAAACTTCACATGTGTATTCCTTGTGACAAGACCTTCCTCTGGATATCAACCACTTTGACCTTTTGACCTTGACATAGGAGTTTGACCTACTTTTGAAAAACTTTAACCTTGGCCATAACTTTTGAATGGTTGGTGCTAGGGCTTTCATACTTCACATATGTAATCCTTGTGACAAGACCTTCCTTTGGATACCAACCACTTTGACCCTTTGACCTTGATATAGGAGTTTGATCTACTTTTGAAAAACTTTAACCTTGGCCATAACTTTTGAATGGTTGGTGCTAGGGCTTTCATACTTCACATATGTAATCCTTGTGACAAGACCTTCCTTTGGATACCAACCACTTTGACCCTTTGACCTTGACATAGGAGTTTGACCTACTTTTGAAAAACTTTAACCTTGGCCATAACTTTTGAATGGTTGGTGCTAGGGCTTTCATACTTCACATATGTAATCCTTGTGACAAGATCTTCCTTTGGATACCAACCACTTTGACCTTGACCTTGACGTTTCACTTTTATTTAAAAAAAACTTTAACCTTCGCCATAACTTTTGAACAGTTGCAGCTAGGTCTTTCAAATTTCACAGGTATATTCCTCGAGACAAGACCTTTCTTTGGGTATCAACATTTTTTATCTTTTGGCCTGGATTTTGACTTGCATTTGAGAAACTTTAACCTTCGCCATAAGCTGCCATATGGGGGCATCAGTGTTTCACAAACACATCTTGTTATATTTTCTTATAACTGTGGAGGTTAGCAAAGAATAATATGTTAAGATAACAGTTAATTCAATTGTTGACAGCTGTATCATGATACATGTTGTATTGCATGACCGTATCCTAATATGTATCATATCGTTAGGTAGCTTGCGATACTCAAGCCTAATGATCTTGAAGATTTAACATTACATCTATGAGGCCAAATCAGGAAAATCATATTGAATGGCAGGGAAATTTTTATTGGAAACAGTGATCAAAGGTAGTAACACAAGATTTGATTGGATATAGCTAACACCATCTGGAGGAAATGGAACCACAGTTATCGTATGTTGATATGTAAGCTGTACAAATATTGGCTTGATATGCCAAGAGTGAAAAGAGGAGAGGAGTGGATTGTCACCCTTGGCTAGCAGAGATGCCTTTAAAAGTGGAGGGGGGAGGGTCTCAAGAAATCTCCAAAGATAATTGCTATAGCCATTAGTGTTGTGCCGATAATCAGAAAACATCGATTGACGACGAAAAAATGCTACCGTTTCTGATGATCGATTATTATTTTTCATAATCGATCATTGGAAGCTTACTTCTTATAATATGCATTCCTGAATTATCCATTCCCTGTTAAAATTTTATTTCTTCCTAATGAAAGAAAATGGCATCTGCACCAACTAGCACAAAGCAGAGGTGATGAACCAAAAGGTGCATATATACAAAGTGTAAAGGATGCAAAACAACAGAGAAAACAATATATTATATATTTTATATAATCATGATAAAGAAATTATATGAAATACTTGTAATAGTCTGCTCTTTACATGTTTTATATACAAAACTATGACATACAATTATAATCTGTTAAATTGCATTGGAAGCAGTAACCGATTCCAACCGATGATCGATTATGAAAATTAACCAATGTCCCATCACTAATAGCCATTCACCATGGCATCGTTTTAAGATACTTCCATCTCAATGTTGGAAGATAGCCTGAGAGCTGTGTGTTCTCTGTGTCAAGGTAAGGCTATGACAATTCGTGAAACATGTACACCAACCAGTTGTTGTTTTTAAGTTGCTTAAGGCAATTAGGGTCTTGTTCTTCTGCACTTTTTGGACAGTTTAGACCCTAATGATACAGACCCTGAAACGTGCTACTACCCCAAAAAAGCGTGTGACTTTCGTGCGCTTTTCGTTTCGTGCAAACCGTGTAGCGTTTCGTGTAAACCGTGCAGCGTTTCGTGCAAACCGTGTAGCGTTTCGTGTAAACCGTGCAGCGTTTCGTGTAAGCTCCAAAGCGTTTCGTGCAAACCGTGTAGCGAGCGTGCGAGAAGCGTGTGAGAAACGTGCGACTTTCGTGTAAGAACCGTGTGAGAAACGTGCGACTTTCGTGCAAGAATCGTGTGAGAAACGTGTAGGATTCATTCGGAACTCATTTTATTTTAAATATGGCTATTGGTGGATGAACATGTCATTCTGTGTTGTTTGTAACTAATATTATTCGAATATATTATACCGGTGATATTTTAAGGGAGAAAAAAAAATACGGAAACAACAAAATAAAATTACTCGGTAATGTATTACATATTTGTTTGATTTTCTTTCTTTTTTTATTTAAATAAAGAAGGAAAGAAAATATTTTCAAAGTAATTAATTATACGCACATCAATTTTAAGGTATTTGATTCAATACATTTTTTAAAGGGAGCAATACTGAACATTGTTTTAAAAAAAATAATTAATAATCCGGTCTTGTCCTTGCATTCATTTATTTGAATCTCTTCACCATTTTACAGTTGTGGTATATAGATATTACAAAAACATATGGGTGATTAATGCAAAATAATAAATAGATAAGGCAGGCGTGAAATATAAAACACTAAGTTTAGTGCGTTGCTATAAATGTGAAGTATGAAAATTCTAGACCGGGGAGCACAATTATTTTTTTTTTCTTTTTAAACGAACATAATTTTCTTATATTACAAGATTGTGGTACAAATAATTTTTAAACGATGAGTCATTTAAAGTCTTTTTATGCATAAAATTGGTTGATTAATAATTGTCTTATAAATGAATCATAATTCACATGCATCGGAAAATACAAGGTCAAATATTTCTGGGGGAGGGGGTGTGTTCAAATGTAAACACAAACTTTTGAGTTTTTGTTATTAACATGTTTTTATAGGTAATTTTCTTTTTAAAGAAAATATTGGGGGGGGGGGGGTTTCGAGGTGCGCCTGATGCACCCCTTAAAATGTATTGGAATCTTCTTTACACTTCCGACACTCTTACGACTGTGATCAAGGTCATTTACAACAGCGATCACGGGCTCCGCGTGCTGGGAACTGAAAACTTCTTCTGCTACATGTACATGTATTATCTCTTGTCAATCATGGCTAAGATGACACCCGACAATAACGATTGATTTTTAATTCGTGAAATTTAATAGTTTTATTAGTATTTAATGGGTAAAAATAAATACGCGTGGATTTTATTTCTTAAATTTATCCAATTCTCTGTAAACAGTGAATTAATTTGCCAGTGTATTCGTGAATAATAAAATATAAAGAAAAAAAATCCGGATTAATTATATATTAGTTGTTTTATTAATCACGCAGTTCTAGGGCATATTTTTTAGTTTTTAGGACACTGGACATGTATTCATGTATATTGAATGTATTGTTAAGAGCCGCGACTATTGATTACATTTTTTTTGTCTAGACGGGATTTGAAATCAAAGATTTTACAAGGTGGTGGGTATATTGTTTTTATTTGATAAACACAGTTATGCCTTAAAATGGTGAACTAACGCATTACAATACCTATTCCCCCGGCTTCTCTACCATATTACATTTTAATGATAAGTCAAAGTTTTATTCTGTAATGAAGCGATATATTTACCATTCTAATTAAAGTGCAGTTAATGAATAACATGTATCTGGTCCCGCTGGAGACATGGATATCCTTTTTTTTTTCTTAGAACGGGCATTTGTTTCTATAATAATTTTTTCCCAATGGTCTACTTACTGAAACAAGTGCCAGTTATATTTAGCCATGAACAGAAGTAAGATCTCGGTAATCTACTCCCCCCCCCCCCCCCCATCCTGCACAATGTTCTTATTTGATTTAGTGTACATTTTGTACATATTACCTTTGTAAATTATAAACAGAACCTAATTCAATCAAATGAAAGTATTTATTTACTACTAGGTAAATAAAAAAAAATGAATAAATCAATCAATAATAAAAAAAGAAAAGGAAAGAAAATCAATCCGTTTACAGAAATCATACACAATTTAATCAATATTTTTTTTTCAAATCAATAACTGGGTTTATTTGTCAGTAATTAAACGATTTGTTAATATCAAACTATAATTGTAAAAACATTGAATGCTGTAAAGATTATGAATTACAAATATAATTATTTTTTTTCCAGTACGTAATTTAGAGTCTAGTGAAAAAGTTTTGTACATAGACGATGTTAGGCATTTCACCGGGCGCTTCACATACTCAATGACAACTATAATATTAATTAAATACAACTTGACATTGTGTATTTTTATCTGTTAATATAGTACTGTTGTAGCGAGTTCTAATCCTAACTTAATATGAATGATTGCAATTCTTAACTAATCTTTGATTAATCTGTAATTTACTTAATTTAAATAAAGTCCGAGAGATTCCGAATAGAAAATCCAGATCGAGGCCAAAACGTGCGAGAATCGTGTACAAAGCGTGTGAGAAACGTGTACAAAGCGTTTCGTGCAGGCTTTCGTGTAAACCGTGCAGCCTTTCATGCAAAGCGTTTCGTGTAAATCGTGTAGCGTTTCGTGCAAACCGTGTAGCGTTTCGTGTAAACCGTGCAGCGTTTCGTGCAAACCGTGTAGCGAGCGTGTACCGTTCGTGCAGCGTGCGTGTGGGGTAGTAGCACGTTTCAGGGTCTGTAATACAGCTGGTCATATAGTGTATACTATATCCCTGTTCATAGGCAAGACTGTAAAGGAGGCAGTTCTATCTCAAGGGCCTCAACAGGGGATGAAGTGTTATACCTAATGAAGGATTACTACATTTAATTGTTGATACTTTTTAAAATCTTAAGTTCACTAGTGGTATACTAAAAATATAATGATTTTTGAACAAAAGATGGGCATAAAAATAAAATTCAAACAAATTAATGTACCTTAACGAAGATATAGCTCTCCTACCAAAGTAACATTGTACATTAAGGGGGTCACTGGAACCAACAATTATCTAAGTTTTATAGTAAAAAAAAATATTCAGCTATAAAAGTGTGAAGTAAAGTCTGTTTATTATACCTCATATAATAATCACTAGTAAAATAGAATCTGATTGGCCGAGACAGTCACACGACCGTCGTGTTTGCCCTGCAACAAAACTTCGTGTTTCACGATTGTGATGTCACAATGCAGTGACTGAGATGGTTACTACTGAGTTAGATCGTTTATATCATTGATTGTGTCGATTCAAACGTGTAAAATATTAATATTTACAAAAGTGTTTTCACAGGTGGGGTTGTAATGTTACTGGTGTGTAAATTAAATTGACGCGTCACGAATGAATGTTTTTATGAAGTGGGACTAGTGGTGTAACTAACATCTGTTTCATATTATTCTTATCAAATGTTTTACTTTATTCATCAGATTTTCTTTGTATTTCTTGCATTGTGCTTGATTCGATATAATAAACAATTTATTGCATGAATGTTCGGGAGACATAAAGATTTCTTTGCCCTTAAAAAATCATATTCCCTTGGGCATTGCCCTCGGGGAATATGATTTTTCATGGGCGAAGAAATCTTCATGCCTCCTTCACTATCATGCAGTAAATGTATAATGTCATTGATGCTCTGTAATATATAGCCAGTGTATGGAAACTGGACTTAACATTGCATTTAATTGTGACATTTAATGCTAAGCAAATGATTTTTTCTTTAACAGTGCAGTATTGTTTGATAAAACATTAGAATCGTTAATTATTAAATTGGTTAAAGGTATGAAGTAGTTATGATGTTGTAATATACATATACACAGTGTAGTTATGCTTTTAATTACAACTTCTTTTATTTACCTTTGATGAGAATATACGTACATGAACACTTGTGTACACAGACTATGGTATTTATCTATGTTGTGTACCAAAAGTCGATGTGTTGAATTCCTTGAAGGATCAAAGGTCAATTTTTAGCTTTTTGATACTACATGTATACATTAAACTATGCATGCAGTGGTATTTCTTTCATGTATGGACAATTGTATAGATAAGTAGCAACATAAGCCCATTGGTCTTCACATGATTTGATCATGAAGTTTATTTCCTAGAGAACTTTTTGTCATTGTCATTAATTCCTTTTTGTGTGTGATGGTGTTTCCTTATGTTGTTCCTTTTGCTTGATTTGTGAGATATAATTGTCAATGATAAATTTAATATTATTCAGGAGGAAGATGAAGTCCCCATTCCAAACGAAGTTAGTGCCACAATTTCCTCAGAAAAATCCCAGTTTCCTCCTGGGGCCCCACCTGTGGGGGAGGATCCAAGACAGGAGGAGGGTGAAAACATGGGTCACATTGAACACAGGCTCAGCATGATTGGTAAAATGGTAATTGACATGAAGGATCCAGACCGGCCAAGGTTTACAATGAAGGAACTGAAGACTGTTCTGATGGAGCGGAATGAGCTCAAATCTAAGCTTATAGAGGTGGAGGAGGAGCTCACAGCTTATAAGCCAAAGTAAGCTAATCAGGGATTGTACAACTAGCAGCATGATTTTGTATCTTTTATTTTTAAACTTCCTAGCATTTTGCCAGAATTAAAAATTGGTTAGTTTCCTCTTACCTTACTTGATCAATGCCATTTCTGAAGTGTTCTTGTCTGGACCATTGTGTCCATAAGAGGCTTGACACTGAGGGTTGTGTACAGTTAGAAATTTTAACATCAACAGAGCCTCAGAGGTAATAAGGAGGTTCATATTCATCAAATTGGTTAAAATGCATTACTGTATAGGGGATTAATTTCACGGGTTGCAATTTTCACGTTTTTCTCTCCTCGGACACGATCGCGGTTTTTTGAATTCGCGGAATCGGTATATAATAAAAGTTACCCCCCTTGTCTTTATCCGTGTAATCCATAGCTAATATAGCAAGAACGACATTTATTATATATTTGTTCAATAATACAGGATTTTTGCATCCCTGATATGAACATAGGAACGCGCCCTGTATTACACACCCAGTATCGGCACCCTTTATTTTACCTTTTATCACACCCTTATTACACCTTTCCGGAACATGTCTGTATTTTTCATTCGGAGTATCTCGGATCTTTTTCTATTAATTGTTTATGAAGTTTATTTAAACTGTAAATTTTCATCAGATATTTTATGCTATTCAAAATAATTATTTGTTTAATTTATAATTATTTTATTTCTTATCGCTGTATGCATTGCCTTTGGAAAAAAAAATAATGAGAAAGGAAATTTAACGAAAAAAAGAACATATTCAATTATTAAGAATTAATTAATTTACAGGTTTATATATGATTTTTGACACTATTTTCAAATATATAATAAAAACAACAATACATGGCAAAATCTGTATCACACCCCATATCAACCCTCGACCAATATCAGCCCTCTGGCCTTCGGCCCTCGGGCTGATATTGGAGTCTCGGGTTGATATGGGGTGTGATACAGATTTTGCCATGTATTATTCTCTATTTATCAGTGTTATGTATTCACTTCACGAACAGGGTAGGTTTATAAAAAATGATTAGATTTAGTAGTTAATTGATGATTAATCAAAACAAGTGCCGTTATCTTTCCGAAGGTATACACATCGCAGTGAAAAAAAAAACACGGGACGCTAATAAATGTACTAATGAAGGTAGAAGTAATAATATCCTTCCATATCTTCACCAAATTCGATAGTTATTCGAACGATATTTTTTAAACCAAAATTTCCATAAAAACTAGAGCTCATAATGCTAATGCAGGTAACAAATGCACGTGGTAACTTTATGCACGCTAATCAAACCCATGACCCGTGTGTTTTGATTGATAAAACATGTATCTATTAAAACAGCTTTTTAACAATAAATACAGGTAATTAGCTGCTTATTTGAATTAAAGTAAAGCGTGATAATTAAGATAATTTAATGACAAGGACAACTCGTAATTACTGAATGACCCTGTACATGTATATATACCTGTCGTAGTCTATTCTCAAATTTCCAAATAATACATTGAGGTTTAATATTTAAAATTTATTCACTGTTTCTTGAATTCACGGATTTATTAACACCGCAAATAAAGCGAATATTAACACCGCAAGTTTTTTCCCCCTATACAGTATCTAGCAGCCGAAATCTTGACACCTCTCTTTAATTTATCACTTCCAAAAGTAGGTAAAATATTGTGAATTTTGAGTTCATATTTAATCTGGGATTATGTGACTTTGCATTGATATTTTGAATTATGTATTACCAATGATCCCTGGATACATTCTGTGGTCATTTGATTTAGGTATTGGCATTGATCAATAGTTGTAATGATTTGGTAAGAGGAAATATGCTAGATAGCTATAGTATAATTACATTGGCCTCTTTGTGAATAGGGAATCCATTACTAGAACACTATTACACATTAGCCAACATTAGTTTTATAACTGTGCATCTTGAGCAATATCCTCATTCATCTTTGCATTGTTAATTTTATCTCTCAAAAGTGATAAGAATTGTTATTGTTAACTAAATGGCTGTTTGCTGCCACATCGTTGATAATCAAGTTACCTAAGTAAACATCATTGATCTAGTGCCTGTGAGGTAATCTTTAAAAGTAAATTTAAAGTTTTAAAATAGCCAGCATTGACAAGTTACAGAAACCACAAGATAAAGAGATGTGGAATTAATTGAATCAGCAGCATTATTTAGGGAACATTATTGATTCTCGAAATAATAGACTGGGCATGATAACCAATGACTCGTTTTCATATTTCCTGTGATCAATATTCAGAGTGATGTGTGTACTCACATTTTTTGATTGCTTTTTTTGTTGTTGGCCAAATTGTGAATCTCAAAATCAGTAATGTCCATCCATTTGTTTGGGTCAACAATTTTGTTTGGCTGTAGTGTTTTTATCTCTTTCGTTTGTGACCTATTCATAGTACATGTATAAATCCTCAATCTTTACACAAAGAGTGAAATCAAGATAAGATGAATTAGATTCATCACTGGAATTTATTTTGTCCTTGCCTTTTGAAATTTATTTAGTAAATGAAAAAAAAAAACGTTTATAAATTGGAAACATAACTTAATTTGGTCATTTTGTCACTTTCTTTTAATATGTCAGTTTGACATGTACTGCAATCTGATTAAAATCAGATTTTTCTTACAAAGCTGTACAAAGCTACTATCAGAATTTCGGAGCAGAGGGTAATAAAGATCTGATTTTAATCAGATTATTGTCACTGTGACCTTGTTTTGGCATTTTTAAATTGCTATTCAAAGTCAAATTGTATCCTGATCTTATGTTGCAATATATCTGGCTGTGTGAAACCTACAGTTATTTAAGCTTGTTAGTTGATGCATCTATCCAGAAGGGGGGTGGGGGGGGGGGGGGGGGGAGGTATGTCATGACTCAAATGTTATTGAATATTAAAATGACTCATTATGGCATCCTGTTACTTAGCACAGTCAAATAATATCTGGGTCATGTCTTGCACAGCATGAGATCTGGAATCACCAAACTTTTTCAGTTGAGGTATCTTCAGGCATGATGTTTTTTCTTGATGCAGCACATTTTTTATTTTTGGTTATTCTTTGAGTTATTCCCCTTTACAGAACACCCAGAAAGAACACTAATTCAAGCACAGACAATGAGTAAGTTTTGACTAACTTTTAATTGAACAGACTTTTAATTTTATTGAATTTTAAACATTTGATAAAACATTTCAGTTTTAATTTATAAATGAAATATCAATTTTATTTATTTATGCTGAGTGTGCAAAGATTTCATGCACTGCATCTAAGTGATAATACACTGTACTAGTATGTCTTTCACTTTTTAATATTTGACACTCATTGCAATTTTGCACTTCTTTTCTGCATTTTATCAGTTTATTGTAAAGAAATTTATAATTTACCCTTGACAGATACTGTAAAATCACAAATTTTCGTGGGGTCAAATTTTCGAGGTTTGAGGAAAAAATATTGGTTAGTGGGGATTTGATTTCGTGGTTGGAGAGGTGTTGAATAGTTTTGTAAATGAAATTTTATATTTCATGGTGGACATGAATTCATGGGTCTCTCCTACCTCGAAAACAACGAAAATTAAACTCCACTAAATTTAGTGATTTCATAGTAAATCCTAGTCACAAAGGGATTTAAATGGTTTAGATAATACATTGTACATCACTATGTAGAAACTGGATGAATCTCTCAACTTCTGATTTGCATGCATGTGTGCATTTGCTAACTGGAGGGAGGGGCATGCCAGTTGCCATAGCAAGAAGGAATGGCTTTATAGGTCACCCGAGTCACTCAGCTGATTTCTTGTATATGTTCTTTTCCCATCAATAAAAGAAATAGATGAACCAAGTACAACCAATTTTAGTAAATATAGCATTTGTAGGTACAAGAGAAGAAAATTATGAAAATCAATGACCCCTTGATGCAAGATTCAGGCATAAGGACATGTCAATGACTAAGTTGATCAAATATTAGAAACACATTTACATCTTGATAGCCTCTAGTAGGCAGACTTTTTGCATACTAAAAGTGAGCACCTATCCTTCTTCCATAAGTCTGAATTTTTTTAATCCTGGTAGCCTGAGTCAGTTGGCCCCCTTCGCTGGTGTATTTAGAGGGGGGATCAGGGGGCCTCCCTATCCCTCCCACCCCCTTTGTGTCCAAAAATATACATAAGATTTAATAAATCAATTTTTTGGTGTAGCTTCTGGGCCCCCACCCTGACCTGCAGCTGGTCCCTCCTCCCCCTTTTAATGAATCCTGGATCCGCCACTGTCATTGTGGAGTAAAGTTATAGCCACTAATTGAAAATGCATGAAAAGTATGAAGCTTTTTAAATCTTGGAAATTAAGCAAGCAAAGAGGAATAATGAACAAAAAGTCTTGTATTAAATCTGAATTTATTATAGTCTCTAGAAATAAAGACAACTCCCTCACAGGCTTGACAGCAAATGGCTGAAATTTACATTGTCAAAGTCCAATTATAGTTGTTTGTTTCAAGTTGTATGTATCCAGTATGGCTTGAAGTGATTTGTAAGGAATGAAACTAATGTTTAATGATATTTTCTTTATAAACAAGTCAACATTAATTTGATATTGCTTAAATTGTTGCAGAAGGACTCATTCAGGACTGACTATAGCACCTTACATACAATAAATGGATGTTTTTCCGTTACGTGTACATATCAGCATCAGCATAAAAATCACTAGTGCAAGTGTCAGTCGATCAGCAAAGAATCAAACATTGCCAGCATCTCTGGCATACAATCAGCCTTAAATTCATTTTTATTCAGTACAAACATTGGTTATTCTATTGATATTTTTATGAAATGATTTTAAATACACAAAAGTAAAATCCAGATTTTAAATACACAAAAGTAAAATCCAGATTTTAAATACACAAAAGTAAAATCCAGATTTTAAATACACAAAAGTAAAATCCAGATTTTAAATACACAAAAGTAAAATCCAGATTTTAAATACACAAAAGTAAAATCCAGATTTTAAATACACAAAAGTAAAATCCAGATTTTAAATACACAAAAGTAAAATACACAAAAGTAAAATCCAGATTTGAATATTTTTATGTTAATTCTTTTGAGTGCATATAAAAAGGAATGAGACTCAGAATTTGTAGGTAATATGTACAAACTCAAATCTGGAAAAAAAAAAATATTCCAAGAATTTTTGACATCTGAATATCAATAACAAAGTGTTACTGGTACTAAGTATTTGAAAGTATAAAGGAAAAAGAGAAAAAAGTGTATGTACTAGTGACTGACAGAAGAAATTGGAATACCATAGGGGTTTAAATTTTCCTGGAAAACCCACTAGCCAAGGGGCTACTGATCAGTAAAAAATTACTAGCTTAAACCTCAAACTAACTAGCCCAACAACTTTTTCATGCAAAACGAAAACATAACAAGTAAAAGTTTTAAAGGCTGTGGTGACAGAAACAAATTAATCTACAATGTAGTTCTCAGTCTAATGAAACCACTCTACATAGAAAAGTGAAAGTAAACTGTTGAGATTTTTTTCCCATTCTGCTTGTTCGATGGACTATCATTACATTTAAATTAGCTAGCCCGAGTCTTAAAATGACTAGCCCAGGGCATCGGACTACCATATATTTATACCATACAAAAGGTTATTTCTGTTTTTCTTAGTGACGTGTATTTGTTATGTGATATCCTGCATTCAGATCTTTTGTAAGTTTTCTTTTTAATTTTTTTTTTTTTAATATTTTTTGTGAATCTGTTGTTTTTTTTTTTTTTTTTTTTTTGGTTAAATTTTGGATGAGTAAAAAAAAAATCCTCAAAATTGAGTAACTGCATAAATTATACCCATGCAGTCTATTGCATTTGAAACTAAACATCACATGTAACAGAAACCTTTTTAACATTTAAACAAGACCAATGATATTAACAGAGTTAGTATGAATTTAGATACCAAGGGGAGGATCTACCTGTGGAGGGCCCCATCAACAAAGAACCAGAGGAAAAGGTATATCCAGGACGAAGAAAACCCTCAGGAATTCGTAAATTGTAAGTAATTTAGTCAATTCTTTTATATTTAGAAATAAAACTCTTGGGTTTGTATTTATTGAATCTTAGTCCTGGCATTCTACACATTTTTAGGTCACCTAAGTCACTCAGATGACCTATTGCTACCTGTTGTTATCCGTTGTCATATGTCATGTGTTAACACTTGAACATACAGTTTCTCTGGAACCATTGAACCAATTTCAACCAAGTTTGGTACATAGCATTGATGAGCAAAGGGGAACAAAATTTATAAATTTCATGGTTTCTGCCCCCCCCCCCCCCCCAACACACACACACCTGAACCTGAGGTGTGGGACAAAAACCAACAAAATTAATGCAATCTTCTTCTTTATCCCTAGACGTCAAGCAGTCAGACTGTTGGCATGATTAAAATAAGCAGTGATCCTTTTACCAAACTTGTGAAGTTCATGAACCTTGGTTCAGGATTCTGGTATTAAGGCAGGTCTCTATATTGATCATATAGTGAAAATGCATTAATTCTTTGAAAATCTTTTTCTCTGCTCCTGGGTATTTATCATTTAAATTAAGTGCAAGGTTATGATGAACAATATGCATAAATTCTTTGAAAATTTTCTACTTTGCTCCCAAGTATTTAGCAAACTATATGCAAGTTTATGATGAACACGAATAAGCTTAATTTTTTTTTTACCATATTGTAAGCTACCCAAGGGGTGGCTAGTATTTCTGAATCCTCAGCATGTACAGTATACAGGTAATTACTTCATCATCTAAATAAATCATCTATTTACCAGGATGCACCAATTTAATTTGCTCTCATGTAAAATAGACCAGGCTCCTCTCTCTGTAGATACTTGGTGGAATAATACTTAAGATGAATTATCAGTCATACTTATCATTTATTGTACGTACAGCATCTCATTATCATAACAATGTAGGCAGTACTCATATAACAACATAAGAAAACATAGCTGATTCTTCAGAAACACAAGTTTAGGTTGTCCAGTGTGGTAGGAGATTTCTAACTAGGCTAATTACATGTAATTTACATTATAAGTATCTCACCGTCTTTGTTTTTCTTCTTTATCTTTTTAAATGTTGCCGCTGTACAACTAGCTGAAATCTGTCGTAACGTAGTACGCGCTTGCTTATATAACCTACCATCCCCTGTCACATGACTCAAATTATCCAATGAAAATGTGCCATATGAACTATCAACCAATCAACAGCTTGTACGGGAAGCTGAGTTCCCACACAAGTTCCCACACAGAACTACTTTTGCCACACAAGCTGCCGTACAATATCGTAACAAATATAACAACATAAAATTAACAACTGGAAATAGAATACATAAAATAAACTTGACTAGACGAATAAATTTATACCTTCAATGTTTATAAAACATCCTTAGGCTGTACAATAGGTACTAAACAATGTAGCGCATGAATATCGTAACTACCAACGATAGCATAAACAAATGTAGTTCCGATTAAGTTGACTGATACTAAAGTTAATGCTGACAATAAAGAACTACTTATAGCCTCAAAATGCACAACAACTCAAATTAAAATGTAGAATCTGATCCAGTATCCTAAACTTAATAACTTAATTTTTTTTTTACCATATAAAAAATTGGACCAAGTGACTTAAAATATTATTCATAAACCAAGAGAGGCCAATGGTATAGAGATTTTGCTGGATTTTACTATGTGTATGATCTGATTTATGCTTACTTAAGTAAATAGATCTAATCTCTGAGTTGTTGCTGATTACCAGACTAAAATTTTGTTGATTCCTGATAGTCCTGTTCCACTTGTTTTTGAGCGACATACTGTACGTGTACAGAAATTAGTGTATTCAAAATTTAGCGCAAGCACTGAGTATGAAGTTGTTGGCAAAATCATGAATTAGCGCTATACATACATGTCCGTGCTGTATATTGTATTTATAAATGATTTCATAGCGGTATTCATGAATTTGCGCATTGTTGTCTGCACCAAAGCCGTTAAAATATGCCCGCTTTTTTAAGTACACATACAGTATTTTCACCTATCAGATTTTTTTGTTTTATCATACAGTTATCAAATTGCCATTCCATAGATCCTTTACAGGTTGTATTATACTCAGGTGAGCAAGCTATTTGGCCTCCTGTTGAAAAGATTTAGTACTTACCGGTAGTCAGTTCTTTTAACTTTAGCGACAAAATTAAAACTTAATAAGGAGTATTTATTAAGTCTTAATCCTGGCATTCTCAACATTTTTGAAAGTGTTATCACTCAGTATATCTTAAAAGTAAAGCAAGATGAGATATTTTCAAAATAATGTTTGAAAATTAACTTTGACCTTGACCTTAAAAATGGTAAGTATACAAGCACAAATCTGTTGTGTATGACTTCAAAAGGCTGTAAAAATCATCAAACATAATTATTGTAAGTGTAGGTAAATAAAGATGCCAAGGAATGTTTTTGATACAACTTTCAAAGTTTAGGTTAGCTTTGACATTTGAATGAAAATTCATTAGGAAAAATATTTTCTAACAAATAAGAACAAGTCCTACACCCTATATTGACCTTTCTTTATGGCACAGGGGTAAGTGGAAGGAGTCATTAGCATAAGAAAAAGTGAAAACCTGGAGAGAACTTGTGTCTGAGAAAGCAACTACCAGACTCTCTAACACAACCCTATTTGATCTAGCATTTAAACCCAGCTCATTTTTAAATCAGTTGAAATGGTGCTTCATATTTCGTTTGTAACTGACAAGGAAAAAATGGGACAGACCAGAGCTAAATCTGGGGCCTCTGAATCACTAGTCAGATGCTCTTATAACTGAGCTGTCTGAGCACTGACAATTGAACCTGTCTGACTGCCTCATTTCTCCCTCCTTAAAGGTGTGTTTGCCCCTGAGGACATCAACCGAGGCTCTTCTTTGGCAGGTCTTTCACCTGTCACTTCTAGGGCATGGCACTATACCATATGTAGTTGGCAAAGAAAAAATGAGACGGACCAGGCCCAGTGATCATTAAACATCTTAAGCTGAAGTCAAAATATATTTTTTAGGGATGTCAAATTGGTCAATATTTGATAATCGGTTACTCGGACATTTTTCCGATCGAGTACCCGGGTACTTGGTAAAAATGTAAATTATAAAAGTGTGTGTAAATTTTGTTGAGCCCAGTTAAGCTCCGTTAAACTACAACGATGTTTTCTGTAACAATAAATCGAAAAATGTGTACATAATAAATCCCAACAATAAGTCAGATATATTGTGGATTGGTTAACAATAATTCAGATATATTGTGTGTTAACAATAAATCAGACATTAATTTATAATGCATGTACATGTATACAATGTATAAACATCGAGTCCAACGAAAATAATTTTTTAAAATTTAAATTTAAAATTTATTTGTCAAAAAAAAGTCATAAATTAATACACCAATAATTACAAATGATTTATAGTTCTTGTTTAGGAAGATGCTTTAATCAATGCAAGAGGCCTAGGAGGACAATCTATATGGGAATAGGATTTTTCAAAATGTTGGCTAAGTGAGAATAAACCGATCAGACTATCGACACAGAAGGAACACAGACACTGTTGGGATGGCTAGTTGTATATTATTTGATATGTTGGTTGTTAAAAAAAAGTTTCCCCAGTATACGCTAAATTTACTCTACATAGCCAACTTGAAACATTTTTTCAATCTTCAGTTAAGTGTATTTCTAAACATTTCTTCACTTTTGAATTCGAAGTGGGTAGCGGCAATTCTATCCATGTCCGAATTGGCTACCGTATACAAACAAAATGATTTTAAAATAATAGGCAATACTTAAACGATGTTCATTAAAAACAAATCATTGAAGCCATCCAAAAATTAAGGGCCACAATAGGTCAGGACAATTATGTTCCAGGTAATTGGTCAACAATTACTGTATACACAGCCACAGGCAATAACGGGTGTTTTACAGGTGTAGGCGACGGCACGCTAATTACTGTATGCACATTTAAGTTATTTATTTTTTGGTAAGTTTTTTTTTTTTAATAAATATGTGTATTTTGAAATTTAAAAAAATATATATACATCCGAGTAACCGAGTACCATTTTTAGTATTCGATACTCAGACGTTCGATCGAGTACCCGGTTAACCGGGTACTCGTTGACATCCCTAATATTTTTTGAATGGAACGATTTCAAAGATTTTACAGATAATTTAAATTTTAATTAAGTCTAAATCTGTTTCATGATCTTGGGGCCAGGATTCGAACCCTGAATCACTAGTCAGGTGCTCTACTAAATGAGCTGAATTGCCTCCAGCGATCAAACCTTCCTGACCACCAGACATTGATTCCATTATAGGTTATAACTTTCATTCAATTTTACAACCCTAATGTTAGGACATGACAAAAAAATTAAAATATAAGATGACCTTATTTTAATTTCCATATCAAGTTGTGTTGTCATTTATGGAATACATGTACTCTTAATTGTCCAAGGGTCATAGAAGGGTGAAAATCAAATGGGAGTACATTTATTTATTTGTCTAGTTTCTTTGTTAGATGTGCAAAGAGCATATGACAACAAGGTTACCACATTCTTGATGTATTCTATCAACTTTGCCTATACACTGTATCAGTGTACAAGACACAATTGGCAGCTTTTGGTTTATTATTGGTGAAATAAATGATGTTAAACTTTGAAGATAATCTTTTGAATATCTATGCATCACAAAAATGCTAATTCTTTTGTGTTGTGCATGTGTTTTGCAGTTTTACAGAGCTAGTGGAAAAACTCAATTTGCCAGAGGTGGATTTCTGAACTGTAATATTTGAAAGGTTCTCCAAGTGCTTTATTCAGCTGTTGTCTCTGTATTAAACCTGTTAGTGGTTTTTATTTGTGTTTCAGTTTGCATGAAATAATGGTGCTTAATTGTCATAGAATGATCATTTTACTGTTTTCTATTTTGTTTTTCTTCCTTGCATATTTAAGCAATACATGTACTGAAGATTTTTTCTCCCCCTAGAGAAGAGATACTGATTTTTGGCATGTCTGTTTGTCTGTCTTTCTAGCTGTCACAAAATCTGTTTTAAGCATCCTGGTCAAAATTCTTGAATCTGTCATTGGAATGGGATAAGACTTTGATATTTTGTTGTCCATGAATGAAAAGTATGTCATAATGTTAGCATAATTAAGGTCAACTTCAAGGACACTGGGCGTTGAGGTGCTGAAATGGAGTCTGCATGGGCATTACAATGTATATAACTTTGGAACCCTTGAATGATTTAAATTTGATTAAGGCATTACAGATTACCCAAAGGTGTGTCTCAATGAAGACATAAGGTCATATAACAGAGTTCAAGGTCAGTAAGCAAAGTGATAGTAAAATTGTATCCCTTTCATAACTTTGAAACCCTTGGAAAAAATTAGACATGGGTGTCATTGCTGTTGACTTACAGGAATTAATCAAATGATCTGCCAATAGATGGCTAGTACCTGCATGTGTTTGCATACTGTAGATTCCTATATATATATGTATATATACAGAATTTATTATAACCTAATTTCGCTAGAATCGCCACTCTCAAAGTATAATGAATTGATTTTATTTTTTACATTGTTGAAATACATATACAAACTCTTGAGCACTAGCCTACTTCCTAATTCAGGTTCTCACAATTTTATGTCTTTTGGCGACATTAAGTATTCACCCAGAAATATAGGGAATCTACAGTATGAAAAACCTATCCATTTGAACAGCTCTCCTCAGAAGGTTTCCTGTAAAGACTCTCTTCTCAGATGAATTGCAGGAAAGATTTGTGAAAATAAAAAATCTGTGACACCCCCCCCCCCCCCCCCCAAAATGTAAAAAAAAAAACAAAAAAAACATATACGCTCTCAGAGAGAGAAAATTCATTGCTGAGTGATTTCACATATAAATGAAGATAAGTTTTTTTGACACCACACTATAAATGTATCAGAAATTAGGTTAGATTTGAATTTTAATTTGTTCACAACATAGGGCAAATTAGGGCAATGTCTCAAAATCACTTCAAGATTGACCTATAAGATTGCTGGTGTTTCATACTACTGGTATGAGGACTACAATCATCAAAACTTGTCAGCTTCTCTGAAATGGCTGAACCAATTTCAACCATTTTGGTATGTAGCATCTATGTGTAAAGGGGAACAAATTCTTAGTTAATAAGTGTCTACCTCCCAGAGTCCTGAAGAGTGGAGTCAAAACCATCAAAATTAATGCAATCTTAAAGAATCTTTTCCAGGTCATCTGAGTTAATCAGATAACATGTTGCAATTGGTTTTTGTCCATCGCTTTGTTTATTATTTTAAAGTCTTTGTAGCTACATATCTTAAACACTATGAAATATAGGGTCATCTAACATTGATAGTTGATACACCTCAGTGCCCAGTTACATTTCATAAACCTTTTTTTAGGTCACCTGAGTCACTCAGGTGACCTATTGCTATCCGTTTTTGTCCGTCGTCGTGCGACGTGCATCGTGTGATGTGCGTTAACATTTGAACATTTTTAGCTTCTTCTCTGAAACCACTGAACCAATTTCAACCAAATTTGGCATATGGCATCTATGGGTGAAGGGGAACAAAAATTATGAATTTCATGGTCCCTGCCCCCCTGGGGCCCAAGGGGTGGGGCTAAAACCACCAAAATTAATGCAATCTTTAAAAATCTTCTCCTTTACTCCTGGACATCAAGCAGTCAAACTGTTGGCATGATTGTAATAAGCATTGATTCCTCTACCAAAATTTTGAAATTCATGGCCCCAGGGTCAGGGGTTCTGGTGCCAGGGTGGGGCTTTATAGATCATATAGTGAAAGTGCATTATTTCTTTGAAAATCTTCTTCTCTGCTCCTGGGTATTAAATAAAGTAACTAAGTACATAGTTATGATGAGCAAGAGTGCCTCTTCCAAAATTGTGAATTTCATGGCCCCAGGGTTAGGGGTTCTGGTGCTAGGGTGGGGCTCTATTGATTATATAGAGAAAATGCATTAATTCTTTGAAAATCTTCTTCTCTGCTCATGGGTTTGAAATAAAGTAACTAAGTACATAGTTTTGATGAGCAAGAGTGCCTCTTCCAAAATTATGAATTTTATGGCCCCTGGGTCAGGGGTTCTGGTGTTAGGGCGGGGCTCTATTGACTATATTGTAAAATTGCATTAATTCTTTGAAAATCTTGTTCTCTGCTCCTGGGTATTAAATAAAGTAACTAAGTACATAGTTATGATGAGCAAGAGTGCCTCTTCCAGAATTGTGAATTTCATGCCCCCTGGGTCAGGGGTTCTGGTGTTAGAGTGGGGCTCTATTGATTATATAGTGAAAATGCATTAATTCTTTGAAAATCTTGTTCTCTGCTCCTGGGTATTAAATAAAGTAACTAAGTACATAGTTATGATGAGCAAGAGTGCCTCTTCCAAAATTGTGAATTTCATGTCCCCTGGTTCAGGGGTTCTGGTGTTAGGGCTAGGCTCTGTTGATTATATAGTGAGAAAACATTAATTCATTGAAAAACTTCTCTGCTCCTGGGTATTAAATAAACTAACTAAGAACATAGATATGATGAGCATGGCTGCCTTTTCAGAAATTGTGAATTTTATGGCCCCTAGGTCAGGGGTTCTGGTGTTAGGGCGGGGCTCTATTGATTATATTGTAAAATTGCATTAATTCTTTGAAAATCTTGTTCTCTGCTCCTGGGTATTAAATAAACTAACTTAGTGCATAGTTATGATGAGCATGGTTGCCTCTTCTAAAATTGTGATTTTCAAGGCCCCTGGGTCAGGGGTTCTGGTGTTAGAGTGGGGCTCTATTGATAAATGTTGTGAAAAAACATTAATTCTTTGAAAATCTTCTTCTCTCTCCTGGATATTAAATAAACTAAGAACATAGTTATGATGAGCATGGCTGCCTCCTCAGAAATTGTGAATTTCATGTCCCCAGGGTCTAGGGTTCTGGTGTTAAGGCAGGGCTCTATTGATTATTTAGTGAAAATGCATAAATTCTTTCAAAATTTCTTCTCTGCTCCTGGGTATTATTCAAACAAAGGTTATGATAAGGAAGAATGCCTCTTCCGAAATTGTGAAATTCATGGCCCCTTTGTCAGGGGTTCTTGTGAAGGGGGGGGGGGGGCTCTATTGATTGTATAGTGAAAATGCATAGTTTTTTTCAAAATATTTTTTTCTACTACTGGTTATAAAGCAAAGAAACAAGTGTATAGTTATGATGAGCAAGGGTGCTTCTTCCAGAATTGTGAGTTCATGGCCCCTGGGTCAGATGTTCTGGTGTAAGGGTGGGCTTTATTTATTTAATAATATAGTGAAAATGCCTTTAGTTTCTTTAAAATCTTCTATGCTTCTGGGCATATTTGAAGCAAACAGAGTAAAAGTTTTAATCTGCAAAGGCATTTTTACCAGAATTTTGAACACCTGGACCATTTAGTCCAGTGCAAGAATATTTATCGTATAATACAAAAAGCACTTTCATAGTTTTAATGATCATGTAGACTTGTAAATGATAGATGAATAAAAATGAGACAAAAATAATTTATCTTTTTAAATGTTCTTCAAAGGCCAAGAGAGGCCAATGTGAGAAGTAATAATATGGGGGTAAAAAATAGACATCTTGTTAATAGTCTGCATGGTAATAGTGATAAATGGGGGACAGATAGATACTAGACCAATTATTTTGTTGATGCTAATCATACTAGTCTATTTTACTTGCTTTTGGGCAACAAAGCTTCATTTATCAGTTTATGGATCCTCTAAATTGTATTGTACTCAGGTGACCATTAAGGCCCTTGGGCCTCTTGTTTTTTATGTTTTGTTTATTTGTCTATATGTATGTTGATAAGAGGCATTGGATCATTTGATATTGTATTTCTAGATGCATGTGAGTGTTCATGTGTGTCAGCTGAAATACAATAAAATTATTACAGTTTTGGTATCATTTGAACAAAGTTCAAGGTCAAAAGTCAAGATTTTTGCGTTGAATATTGCACATTAAATGATCCAATAACTTATACATACCATAGTTAGAGAATTATTAGATGAATTGAGACACCATAGATGTTTAAGTTACTTGGTCCAAAGGTCTAGGACAAGGCCAAAATTTTACATATGACCTCTTTGTTGCAATTATAATTAGGCATTTAACTTAACACACTTTTTAGCTCACCTGAGCTGAAAGCTCAAGTGAGCTTTTCTGATCACCCATTGTCCGTCGTCCGTCCATCTGTCCGTCTGTCCGTCTGTAAACTTTTCACATTTTCGACTTCTTCTCAAGAACCACTGGGCCAATTTTAATCAAACTTGGTACAAAGCAACCTTGGGTGAAGGGGAGTTTAAATTGTTAAAATGAAGGGCCATGTCCCCTTCAAAGGGGAGATAATCAAGAAAATACAAAAATTGGGTGGGGTCATTAAAAAATCTTCTTCTTAAGAACCACTGGGCCAGAAAAGCTGAAACTTATGTGGAAGCATCCTAAGGTAGTGTAGATTCTAAATTGTTCAAATCATGACCCCTGGGGGCAGGGCGGGGCCACAATAGGGAATCCAAGTTTTACATTGAAATATGTAGTAAAAATCTTTAAAAATCTTCTTCTCAAGAACCACTGGGACAGAAAAGCTGAAACTTACTTGGAAGCATGCTGGGGTAGTGTAGATTCTAAATTGTTCAAATAATGACCCCCGGGGGTAGGGCGGGGCCACAATGGGGAATCCAAGTTTTACATTGAAATATATAGGAAAAATCTTTAAAAATCTTCTTCTCAAGAACCACTGGGCCTGAAAAGCTGAAACTTATGTGGAAGCATCCTGGGGTAGTGTAGATTCTAAATTGTTCAAATCATGACCCCTGGGGGTAGGTCGGGGCCACAATAGGGAATCCAAGTTTTACATTGAAATATATAGGAAAAATCTTTAAAAATCTTCTTCTCAAGAACCACTGGGCCTGAAAAGCTGAAACTTATGTGGAAGCATCCTGGGGTAGTGTAGATTCTAAATTATTCAAATCATGACCCCCTGGGGTAGGGCGGGGCCATAATAGGGAATCCAAGTTTTACATTGAAATATATAGGAAAAATCTTTAAAAATCTTCTTCTCAAGAATCACTGGGCCAGAAAAGCTGAAACTTATCTGGAAGCATCCTGGGGTAGATTCTAAATTATTCAAATCATGACCCCCGGGGGTAGGGCGGGGCCACAATAGGGAATCCAAGTTTAACATTGAAATATATAGGAAAAATCTTGAAAAATCTTCTTCTCAAGAACCACTGGGCCAGAAAAGCTGAAACTTTCTTTGAAGCATCCTGGGGTAGTATAGATTCCAATTTTTTAAATCATGACCCCTGGGGATAGGGCGGGGCCACAATAAGTACTACGGGGGGGGGGGGGGGAATCAGGTGAAAAACAGCAAGGCCAAAGTTACTCAGGTGAGCGCTGTGGCCCATGGGCCTCTTGTTTATATTTACTATGTTGCATCACAGAAGCTGAGAATGCCATGGAAAAGACATCTATGATTTTGGGGGGTTGTTTGTTAAAGGTGAAGGTCAAAGGACCAGTATTTCACATGATCCCCATGTGAAGATTCATAAGTTTTCTTTCTTAAAATGAAGGTTCACTGGGATAGGTAGAGCCAACAAAAGAGTAAATGTTTTTAATCAGAAATATATAAATATTCAAAAGAACAACAAGGCTACAATTTATAGATATCAAACCTCAATATTCTTTTAATGAAAATTTTTGAAATCACATTCAACTTTAAATTGATGCGTTCAATTATACAGTTTTTCATTTATTTGAATAATTACTTGTTGACTTTGATGAGTACTTGTATTTATTGTTAATGATTTGTTTTTCTTCTTTTTTTGACCCCACTTTTGCTAAAGTGAGGTCATGATGTCAAACATCATAGTGCATTCAGAAAGGTCTTGGTACAGGTAATGCAAATGTGAATATGACCACCCTATCTTCTTTCATTCAAAAGCCCTGGTCAAGGTTAAAATTTTTTGTAAAGTAGGTCAAACTTCGAGGTCAAGATTAAAAATATATTCATAAAGGTCTTGTTACAGGTAATGCGTTTGTGATATATGCCTTATCTTATCTTATTCAAAGTTAAAGTTTTTGTAACAGAAAATATTCTCTGTCTGTCAGTCACAAAAACTTTAACTTTGGTCTTAACTTTTGAATAACTCTTCACCAGGGCTTTTGAATGAGAGAAGATAGGACTGTCATATTTCACATTTGCATTACCTGTAACAAGACCTTTCAGAATGTACTATGACCTCATGACCTTGAAGTTTGACCTACATGTACTTAACTTTAACTTTGGATGTAGCTTTTACATCTGAATAGACAGGGCTTTCATATTCACACATGCATTACCTGTGACAAGATCTTTCCATATGCATTATGATTTATGACCTTGGAGTTGAGGTTTGACATCATTTTCAAAATTTCAAACTTGGCCATAGCTTTTACACCTGAAGAGAAAGGTCTTTCAAATTTTCATGTGCATTACCTGTGACAAGACCTTCCAAATGTACTATGATTTTTTTACCTCATGACTTTTACCTTCTTTTAAACATTTTGAAATTGCTTGTTTTTTGTTGTTGTTTTTTTTAAGTAGGGAGACATTTTTCTCTTTGAATAGTTATGTATGTAGCATACATTATTTAGCATAGGTTAGACATTTTGTTGATTGAAGGAAAGAATTTCAGTTTTGCTTTCCCCTTGTTTGTGCATGCTATGTTTGTTCTTGATGTCATGATGATCATTGTGGCAATTTTTTTAATTTCAGTTTTGAATCAATCTTCGGATCATCTTCCCCAAGAAGTCGCTCCACCAGTGAAATTTGCTGACAGCCACCGGATGTAAATGAAGAATATTTCTGTGATGAAGGACTCAATATGGCAGCCTCATGGTCAGATTTCCTGCATGAAAAACAATCATACCCATGGACTTATTACAATTAGGTTGTTGCCAAGGAAATGTTCTGATGCATCATGGGACCAAAATAGAATTAGTATGTTACAGCTGTTGCAGTCATCAGGTGATATTGTTTTTGTCTACACTCATTACTTAAGCTATATTAACCAGTATGATTATAATATTTAGAAAATTTATTAACTAATATATTGTCCATATTTATATTCATAGGGTGAAAAATTTTAAACATTTATATAAATGATAGTTTTACATAGTTAATTGTAATCAAATCATACAAACTATTTTTATACATGCTGACTGATGTTGAGTATATATTGTTCCTTGCCTAGCTGTCATGTTTGTATTGAGTTGAAATTTGTCCTTTCAGAAACCTTATTTAAATAGATTTTTACCTACATTTTATGATATTATTTAAGCATGCATGATGTTGTTAATGTATGTAATTGAAAAAAATGAAATTAAGATGTAGCTGTGCAATTTATCTAGCAATGCTTGAAAGCTAATTCAGGTGGGAAAAAAACAGTGTTTTCCAATAGTTTCTTTAGTATATTTTTTATGTTAAGTTTTCTCTTGCCTTTTACTTGTATTATATTTTTGAATTTTTTTTGCATGTAGTATTCTTTTTGACAAGTTTATGTAAGAAAAATAATTAGAAGTACAATTAGGGTAAAGAATGAGTGGACTTTGTCATATTTTGAGTCTTAATTTTTGCGATTCCTTTACCAAGCTGTAAATGAAATGAACCCAAAATATTGTACAAGCATTAGCAAGATTGACATATACATGATTATACTAGGTAGAATATTTGTACGAAAATAATGCCTTGGTGTCATGAATCAAAATAGAAGTAACGATAAATTTGTGTCACATTCCAGAATTTGACATCTAACTGGAGTAGATTTTAAGTCACCAAATCAACATTTATAGGAGGCGGGGCTATGAATCAACATCATGTTGACATCTCTCTCTCTCTCTCTCTAGAAATTCAGATATGTGTATGGTATAAGTTTTCAACAATTACATCAATGTCGAGATTTCTCTAGTAAGTATTGTGAGGACTCACAAAATTTTAACAAAGTGATTACATATGATTTAATTTGCTCAATATTCTCAACCAAACAGGCTCTCAGATCTGAATTTGATAGATGTCACGTTTTAGAATAATTACATGTATATTCATGAATACACTCGCAGCTGGACACCAGTGATGAATTGTAATATTCAATAGGCTGATCAGTGTCATATCAAGGGAAACACAGTCATAGAAATGGAAGCAACAAGTTTGTTTTAAATAAGTTTTTGTGAAATTAATTAAAAGTGCACATTTGTCTGCCCATCTCCTTTTCATATGAAATTTTGTTCAATATTTTTACAAACATGTGCTGACTATGTATTGAGATACTGAAATAAAGAGTAACCCTGATTATCTATTGATATTCAAGAAATTGTTGGGTCCTATGCCTTACAGTTTTATTTGGTTTTTCCTTAAAAAAAGTAAGATTTTTTAAAATTCATATATGTATTGAGAATACATAGTTAAGATATTGGTGATTTATATAATGGAAAGAAATACCTGGTAAGCATGTAAAAAAACTTATAAATTTATAATTTCTTTTCAGAACTCTTTAGTCCACTCATTCTTTATTCAAAAGAAACTGCTAGCTTATTCATTGTTTTTTGAGCTTGTCAACAATGTTGATAATCCAGGAAGTCCTAGCTGAGTACTACATTAACATATCAACTAAATAGCTAATTTGTTCAACAAATTTGTTCAAGGTTTTCTTTTTTTATACCTCAGTTGTCTTCTTACACCAAACAGTAATATTCCTTTTAAATAGTGCCAATTTTTAATACTTTGTATTACATGTAATTAAAATAAACCAATATTGAGTTCAAATGAGCCTATAGCTGCCAACTGACCACAATCAGTGGGTCACAACTTCAGAAATGTCCTTTCAACCACTAACTATCCCTCCTGTGGCAGGTAACTGAACCATCAGCATTTTTTTTCATCATTAAATGACCTTCCCACTGCTTTGATAATTTAGATTTATCAGTAAGAATTTGCAAAATTTCAACACATTTCTGATTTTTGCAAACCATTTTGCGTATTAAATGTCATTCAGTTTGACTAGCAATTCTGATTTTTCTATAATATTAAAGTTTTTTAAAAAGTTCAATTGGTGATATTTGACTATTAAACAAACACTTGGTAGCACCTGTTGATGTTTATAATACACAAAAGCAGGCAATTCTCTGTACGTGTACAAACCTTGCATCTTTTACTGTGTCACATGTGCAGTTGTTACAGTTGTTGAAGTTTTGTTATTGTGATATTTTTGTTGTTGTATGTTTTAACTTTGTCTTATTTATCTTTGTTAACTTAGACATGTCATAAAGATGTTTAAAAATGATAAATTAACTGGATGTAACTCACTCCATTACTTAGTTTCTTGGAAAACTGAAAACAGAGCTGTGTTGGTTTTCAGAACATTCCTCACTATTTGATTTATTTTTTTAGGTTGATTAATGCAGGCTGTAAACTAACCTTTTTATAAAGTCTAATTTCTTAGGTGACAGTGTCATTTGCTTTCAGTTTCCTTTATAAATTTCTTAGTGTAGAGTTGCAATTTCCTTCAAGATCTTTCCAGAATGTAAATTATGTTCGAGTCATCATCAGTGAATTATATTCAGTTTGGACAAATACTCAGGCTATTTAGATTAAATTTCATTTATTCTTCAAGGAACAGTTGATCCAAAACTTGCCATCACATAAAAAATTAAAAAATCATGAATATGCTTTAAATTTGTTTGAGTTTGTTTTAATCTTTAAACTTTTTTTCTGGGGAAGAAATCCAGTTGATCACTTTTGCCAATATTGAGTCTGTTAGGCCATCTTTAAAAAATTGTTTGGTTGCCCTCTCTCGACCGACTGGCTAAAAATGGCCCAACTCAAAACTTTTTTTAACCTCCAGGAAATTTTTGTTATGCATTCCAGAAAATATATTTTTCAAAAATTCAGCATTGATGTTGAAATTTTCTAGGGAAAAAAAATCCTACCTAGCTACTGACCCAATTTTTTCATCCTGGGTCAGGAGAGGACAAGCAAACATTTTTTTAAAGTTGGCCTTATTATCATATACCTTTCTTTCTTATTTTTGTTCAAAAAAAGGTTGTCAAGGAGTCATTTAGATATTTATAATTGTGTTATATTCATACATATTTTTGCTCTCTGTTTAAAAGGGTATTTATCTATTTATTCATTTGTAAAACTTAAGAAAGTACCTTGTGCAAGAATTTGTCTTTGATAACCCTAAGATTTTGAATGTTAATTCATCATGCTAGCTTATTTCATCAGTGTTATATCTTTTCAAACAAAGATGTGCTCTCAAAATAGTTCTGTTTTAACCATGATTTTTAATCTGTTTACAGTGAAGTTTTTACAATCTAGTCATAACTAGATTTTGTAGTGCTACTATTTTGCAGGCATTCCCTAGGTCACCTGGGTCACTCAGGTGAGCCATTATCATCTGTTTTTGTATGACATCATGGGCTGTCTTGTGAAAATTCTTGTCTTCTACTGTGAAATTATTCAGCCAATTTTGGTATGTAGAATCTAATCAGATCACAAAATGTTAATTTTATGGTCTCCACCCTCTTGGGGCCTGAAGGATGAACCAAAACCATAAAATTCATGAAATATTTAAAAATCTTTTTTAATTATAGATGTTACCGTAAGTAGGGAAACTATGACTAAAATACAAAGCAGTTTGCCATCAACTAAAATTGTGAAATTCATTATCATGGCCCCATTATGATATTTAAAGAATTCCTTTGAAAAAGCTTATACCCCTGAAAATGCTTTTTATTCATGGTCTTCTAGCAAGCAAACTGCTTATCAGTACATGATTTATATAATTTAAGCCCTTTACCAAATTTTGAAAATTATGTCTTCAGGGCTCAGGCCCAAGGATGGGGCCAATTTGAAAATGCATCGTGCTTTCAAAAATCTTTCCTGATGTGCATCAAGGATTCAAACCTGTAGAAATATTATATTGAATAAAGAGTCCTCTACCAACATGTAAAATTTATGTCATATGGTTCCAGAGATCAAGTTGGGACTGAGCTGGTCATTGCCTGAGAAACTCATGATATTCAGGTGATCACCAAGGCTTGTTTCTAGGCACAGGTCTTTAAAACCCATTTTTAAAATTGCACTTCATTTGTAACTCACCACCACTAGGTACTGATTGTTACAGAATATCTTTGTCATTCCATTTTTTACAATAAAGATAAAAGGTACTTCATACTTATTATATTTTATAATATTATGTATGTAGAAACATATTCATGACAAGTATTTCAGTGATTTAGAATAAATTTGATGTGTTCAGTTATCCACCTTCTAATCATAACTGAATTGTGTAGAAATTTGAACATCAATAAAATGTTGATTACTCCAGCTGACTCTTGAAAGAATGATTACGCTCTCAAACAAACAATCATTGATGCATCAGAGTTGCATGTGCGTGGACTAATCAGCGTAACTTTTTTCTGATCATTTAATGGTTGACTTGAACCAATTTGTATCTTCATTCAACAGGGAGGTTTTCCTGTTTTATCTTTTTTCTGTGTTAGTTAATTAAAAATTAATGTTCATCATTTCTTATAAATGTATCTCCTGGGCAAAGTTGTGGTCTTTCCCTTCGTTGAGAAAACTTGAAGAATCCTATTCTTCTAAGGTTTTGTGCCAAGTTATGATAAAATTGGTCTGGTGGTTCTTGAGTAGTTGAAAATTTAAAAAGTTAACAGATGCCAGAAAGAAGTGTCACAGACATACTTTGATCTCAGAAGCTCATTTGAGCCTTGAGCTAACAACAGACAAAACAAAATCTGAATTTATGTTGAGACTGCAGCTCTACTAGATTGTACGTATAATAAAGGAAGACGAAAGCAATACTTGGACTTTCAGTTTTACATTTATTACCTTACCTGAGCTGAAATCTATGGATCCTTTACAGTGTTACATTATACTGATAAGGTGACAATTTGACTATATAATCAATAGTGTCATGCCCTAATACCAGAACCCCTGACCCAGAGGTCATAAAATTCAAAAATTAGGAGAAGGCACCCTTGCTCATCATAACTATGCACTTGGTTTGTCTGTTTAACACCCAGTAGCAGAGAAGAAGATTGTCAAAGAAATAGTGCACTTTCACTGTGTAATCAATAGAGCCCCCTCTCCACTGAACCCTTACCTTGGGGCCACAAATTTCACAATTCTGGGAGAGGCACTCTTGATCATCGTAATCATGCACTTAGTTTATCTGCAAAATACCCAGAAGCAGAGAAGAAGATTTTCAAAGAATTAATGCATTTTCGCTATATAATCAATATAGCCCCTCCTTAACAACAAATTCCCTGACCCAGAGGCCATACGATGCACAATCTTGGAAGAGGCACCTTGCTCATCATAACTGTGCACTTAGTTATCTGCAAAATACCCAGAAGCAGGGAAGAAGATTTTCAAAGAATTGATGCATTTTCGCTTTATAATTATTATAGCCCCGCCCTAACAACGAAATTCCCCGACCCAGCGGCCATAAAATTTCACAATTTTGGAAGAGGCATCTTTGCTCATCATAATTATGCACTTCGTTTATCTGCAATATACCCAGGGGTAGATAAGAAGATTTTCTAAGAAATAATGCATTTTCACTGCATATTCAACAGACCCCCCCCCCCCCTTCAACCCCTGACACTGGGACCACACATTTCACAATTTGGAAGAGGCGCTCTTGATCATCAAAATCATGCACTTAGTTTATCTCATAAATACCTAGGTGCAGAGGAGAATATTTTCAAGGAAATGGTGCATCAATAGAGCCCCACCCCTTTCCAGCAGAACCCCTGACCCCGACGCCACAAATTTGACAGTTTTGAAAGAGGCGCACCCTTGCTCATCATAAGTATATATTTGGTTTGTTTGTTTAATACCCAGTAGCAGATAAGTAGATTTTCAAAGAAATAATGCACTTTCAATATATAATCAATAGAGCCCCGTCCTGCAGAACCCTTCATCCAGGCACCACAAATTTCGCAATTTTGGAAGAAACTCCCTAGCTTATCTGCTTTATATGCAAGGAGGGAGAAGATTTTTCTTTCAAAGAATTACGCATTTTCACTATATGATCATTAGAGCCCAACCCTAACCTCAGAACCCCTGATCCCGGGGCCATGAATTTCACAATTTAGGTAAAGAGCTCAAAGCCCATCACAGTCATCCCCACATTTTGACTGCTTGATGTCCAAGAGTAAAGAAGAATTTTTTTTAAAGACAGCACTAATTTTGGTGGTTTTAGCCCCACCCCTAAGGCTCCCGAAGGGGGGGGGGGGGGGCAGGGACCATGAAATTCAAAATTCAAAATGTTCTTCTTCACACATAGATATTCTATGCCGAAATTGATTGAAATTGGTTCGGCGGTTCCAGAGAAGCTGAAAATGTTCAAATGTGAACGGACAACTCACGACGACGGACAAAAACGGAAAACAGTTAAAAAAAATCTTCTCATCATGAGGCGGATTATCACCAGACTTACAAATAAGGATGAGGGTATATTGTAGATTAAATTAAAAATTGTTCAGTGCATCACCGTATGGCAAAGGGTATGGTCTTAAGAGCACTTTAAAAACTGACCTAAATTGAAATGAAATTTGTTAAAACTGATATTTTGCCTAGATGATCAAATCTCGTCAGTTTAGGATGTTAGGACCTCGGGTTGCATTGACTCAAAAGTAGGACACAGTGACCTACTTAAAAAAAAATCAGGTACCGTATATACTCGCCTATAAGTCTGTCTTATAGGTCGGTTGCATTTTTTGATGCCCCCGTAATCGAAGATTTGGGGGCATATAGTTTTTGCCCTCTCCGTCTGTCTGTTTGTCCGCAAAAACTTTAACCTTGCCCATAACTTTTGATTGGTTGGAGCTATGGCTTCCATAATTCACATGTGTATTCCTTGTGACAAGACCTTTCTTTGGGTACCATCATATTTGACCTTGGAGTTTGACCCACTTTTGCAAAATTTTATGAGACTTTAACCTTGGCCATAACTTTTGAACAGTTGGTGCTTGGGCTTTCAATCTTCACATGATTAATCCTTGTGGCAAGATCTTTCTTTGGATACCAACAACTTTGACCCATTGACCCTGACCTTGGAGTTTGACCTACTTTTGAAAAAAACTTTAACCTTGGCCATAACTTTTGAACAGTTGGTGCTATGGCTTTCATACTTCACATGTGTATTCCTTGTGAAAAGACCTTTTTTTGGATACAAACAACTTTGACCTTTTGACCTTGACCTTGGAGTTTTACCTACTTTAATTTTGAAAAATTTTAACCTGGAGTTTGACTTGCATTTTGACCTGGAGTTTTACTTGCATTTGAGAAACTTTAACCTTCGCCATAAGGCTGCCGTATGGGGGCATCAGTGTTTCACAAACACATCTTGTTATGCCCCCGGATCAAAAGATCCTGGGGGTATATTGTTTTTGTCCTGTCTGTCTGTTTGTCTGTTTATCTGTTTGTCTGTTTATCTGTTTGTCTGTTGTCAACTTTAACCTTGCCCATAACTTTTGATTGGTTGGAGCTATGACTTTCATATTTCACATGTGTATTTCTTGTGACAAGACCTTTCTTTGGGTACCATCATATTTGACCTTTTGACCTTAGAGTTTGACCCACTTTTGCAAAATTTTATGAGACTTTAGCCTCGGCCATAACTTCTGAACAGTTGGTGCTTGGGGTTTCAAACTTCACATGTGTATTCTTTGTGACAAGGCCTTCCTTTGGATACCAACAACTTTGACCTTTTGACCTTGGAGTTTGACCTACTTTTGAAAAACTTTAACCTTGGCCATAACTTTTGAATGGTTGATGCTAGGGCTTTTATACTTCACATATGTAATCCTTGTGACATCACCTTCCTTTGAATACCAACCACTTTGACCCTTTGACCTTGACATAGGAGTTTGACCTACTTTTGAAAAACTTTAACCTTGGCCACAATTTTTGAATGGTTGGTGCTAGGGCTTTCATATTTCACATGTGTATTCCTTGTGACATGACCTTTCTTTTGGTACCATCATATTTGACCTTTTGACCTTGGAGTTTGGCCCACTTTTGCAAACTTTTATGAGACTTTAACCTTGGCCATAACTTTTGAACAGTTGGTGCTTGGGCTTTCAATCTTCACATGTTTAATCCTTGTGACAAGACCTTCCTTTGGATACCAACAACTTTGACCTTGACCTTGATGTTTTACTTACCTTTAAAAAACTTTAACCTTCTCCATAACTTTTGAACAGTTGCAGCTAGGGCTTTCAAATTTAACATTTTTTATCTTTTGGCCTGGATTTTGACTTGCATTTGAGAAACTTTAACCTTCGCCAAAAGCTGCCATACGGGGGTATCAGTGTTTCACAAACACATCTTGTTTAAAGGTTATTTTGGAGGGATTTGCCGTTGGCCCTCTTATGTAAGTCAGTACAACTTTTTGCCGGATGTAGTTGACAATTTTATATCAATGCTTCTGTGTTTTTCCTTGTGATTCAAATAATATTTTGGAAATGACTCCTATATTTAAATATTTTATCCTCAACAAGCAATCTCATATTAGTATTCAGCATATTTACCTGTGTGCAAATAATAATTATATTTAATCTTTTTATTCTCAATCAATCAAACGCTATCTAGAAATACTACATTTCACCGTTCTAGAAATATACCACTAGACTTGCCTATAAGTCGAACTTGGAGTTTTGGACCAAAATCTACCTCCAAGGAATCTGACTTGTAGGGGAGTATATACAGTATTTATTTTCTAAATTATTTTTATGGATATCTTGGACACTTTAAAGCCTAGGATCATCAAAACTTGACACTTGATACATCTTTGATAAATCATGGAGCCGTGAGTGTGTCAAGCAAAAAGGAGGTCACCGTGACATTCCTTTTGAATTTATGGCTTATCAATTTGAAACCATTTTAGTTCATTATTTCAAATACTGAGAGGTTTAGAATCATCAAACCTTGTCAGTTGATGCATCTTACCGGCTTTGGGTTAAGTCGGCTAAAAGTAGGATACTTTCTGAATTTTACGGTCAATCATTTTAAAATATTTTACACTGTGGATTCATTAAAATTCATGGGGACCAATTTTCGTGGATTGACTAAATTTTACGGGTTTGAGGGGATGTAATTTCGTATATTCACTCATATCTATAAAAGGAAAGACTACTCTTAACCCCAATTATTAATTCGTTGAGGATGTGAATTCATGAGTGCAGGATACGCACGAATTCTACGAATATTGAGCCATGAAATCTAATGATTCCACAGTAACGTGCAGGGTCAACTGCATCTTAGGGTCACAGTTAATTTTATCGTTATTCATTGTG